CGAAAAAAGTTCAACAAAAAAAAGAGTCGCAATGTTGCTGGTATTTGAAGACGTGATGCGTGTATAGCCCTTTGTACACCCTATTTCGCTAATTTTATATGAAGATCAAACGTAATTTATTAACACCTTTTCTCAAATTGATATTCTTTAGACATATTCAAGTACCTTTTTAGTATCTTGTATATATTTATCTCGATCCTGAGCCTTGGAAGACAAACGTATTCACAATTCTATAACATCCATTTGCCCCAGGGTATGTGTGCATGGAATTAGCAACATTTGTGCATGGAATGGGACTCATTGTTGCAATAGCGAAACTGCGGCGAATCGGGTATTGCCTATATTTCAAGCTATATAGATTTGCCCACTTGGCTTTATCCCATAGATAAATGCATTTTCTACAAGATTGCTTCTTTTAATTACCTTTATGTATTTTATTTTGACCAAAAAACGGTTTTCAAGTAAATGTTGCCGCAACTTTTGTGTATGGAATGCGCAACATTTGTGTATGGAATGAGACTCATTGTTGCTAAAGCGAACTGCGGCGAATTGCGGCGAATTCAAATTTTCTCATATTCTTTGTTCCGTTGAATAATACTATCTATATGGAATATTTAGCCATGCCCACTCAATTTTGCACGATTGATGAATCAATTCTATATTTGATTGGCCTATTCAAAAAACTTGCATTTATTGGGTTTTTATATAAAATTGAAAATGAAATTAATAGATGACAAAAATACCATTTAGCACTAAAAAACACCACATGGGAGCGCGGCGAAAACCAGTTTCTACAGTATATACGGTCTCACTTGAAAAATATACCGAGTGGTGCGCGCCAAATCGAACTTTTTTGAATGTGAGCGACAAGGACTTAAATGTTGTCAACCGGGCCTTTATCTATGCCCACATAATTTTATACGATTAATGAATCAATTTTCTACACAATTGGTTAGTTTTTAGTCCTTGCTTTTATTGTAAACAAGGATTAATCAAAATAGTTCAACAAGAAAACAGTTGCAATGTTGGTGGTAAATTAGCAACATTTGTGTATAGAATGAGACTCATTGTTGCCAAAGCGAATTGCGGCGAACTGCGGCGAATTCAAATTCGATTCAAAAAAACGACCAATTCCTCATATTCTTTGTTCCGTTGAATAATACTATCTATATAGAACATTTAGCCATGCCCACTCAATTTTGTACGATTGATGAATCAATTTTCTATTTAACTGGTGTATTCTTAATAGTTGCTTTTATTGCATTTTGCGTAAAAAGAGGTTTAAACGAAAAAGAGCGAAAACGCTCTAGCATGTTGCTGAGGTTTGACCGCATGTTGCAAGCCTTGGCGTGGGACACATGTTGCTGAGACCCGCAATGAACCTGAACTGACTCAAATGAACCTCAAGTGAGCTGAACAGCTCTCTTATCACTGAAGAGCTCTTTTATAGCTAGTTATATAGCCATATATAGTCATATCAGAAAAATAGGGAGGGGAACCACTTTAAACTAATTTTATTAGATAGGACACTTATTTGAACCCCTGAAGCCATAACGACACAACACTGCTGATTTTATACACAACATGGGCTGTTAAGCGGAAGATGTCAGCCGATTCGGAATGTGGCGCCTAATTTGAATTCAAATGGAACGAATTGGCGGTATTTTGTGCTCTTATATTGAGGCAGGCTTTAATTGCTTCTGTTTCCTATCTTATCGAATATAGCGTATACAACGTGACATTTCACACTCCACTCCAATTATATTTTTTTGTTTCATTTCATTTCATACTTAAAGTCGACAAAATCAGTGATGATAATGGTACAGAAAGGATCCAACAAGACATCTCTTATCTAAAGATATCACTCAGAGTGTTCTCTCGAGCATTCGAGTTCTTGGGGTATCCAATTCCCAAGTTCTGTTTACACCCGAAAATAACTTTTCCCATTCTCTTATCCAAATCTTGATGATGCATCACATTGTATAAGAGAGCCTACAATTGAGGGAATATTTTATTTCCAGAAGCTTTCCGTCAGATGCAACGCAATACATACGTAAAATATGTATGTATGTCCAAAGAGAAGAATCGGATTAAAGATCGTCCCATTCAGGCTATCAGTACCATACCCAAGCAGCTCCTTTCGTTCTTGTATCCCCCCTAGCAGGTCACTCCATGGCTAATTGGGTTGGCATCACACCACTCCTGCTATGCATGCTCCAGCTCGTGGTCATTCCATACAGTTCCACTGGACAGCGCGTGATTTTTTGGACATTTCGGCAAGCTCAGCAGAATGCATCGATGGATGACGGACGACTGACGACGACGATGACTGCCGAGATGGGAGGAGGGTTGGTTCATTGAAAGACGACACCCAATGCCGAGAATACAGCAAAAAGCAGTACTCGTACCGCACCAGATACCTTCCAGAGTGTTGTTAAATGCTGAACGAAGACCAAAAACGAGTGGAGTGGAGCTCCTATTCCGTATTCGAACTATGTTATTTGAAAGCGTATTTTCAGAATTTCTTGATGTTTATATAGTAGAATGATTCGACGATTCACTGAGACGATTTTGTCTTGTTTTTCATTCATTTTATTATTGTTTCGTTCCTTTTTGCTTTTGTGTTATTTACGAACATTCGGGTTTAGACACAAATACAAATACATACATAGTTTTTTTTTCCTTTTTTTGTTGATTCTTTTAAAAAACTACTACAAAAATTGTTGTTTGTTGTTGTTGTTGTTGTGGTTGTTGCTTTTGCTGTTAGCGCTTAAAGATCTACAACATATAGCCTTATGATCTATAACATATAGCATTCTAAATGGCATACATATTTAATGGGCATGTATGCGGGTTATACTCGTACAGATACACATATACATATACATATATATCAATATACTATATATATATTCATATAAAAAAATACAACAAATTTGCAATTCGTTTCACATTTAGTTTTTATCATTCCTTTTTATTTTCTTCGTTTCGTTTTGTTTCGTTCTCTGTATTCTGTTCTCTGTTCTCTTTTTTAAACTTTTGTTTGTATTCCTCTTCTGCTCTGAATGAAAATCGCAAAGACAGAATTGGAGAGTCACAAACAACCGAAAAATTCACAAATATTTCCATCTAACATTGAGGGGGGCGGGGGAAGGGTATGGTATGGTATGGTATGGTATGGCAAAAAAAACGTCATCATCATTTATCAGCATGATTGATTGCGCATCAATCATGATTAGAACACATTTAATCTGGTTCTGCTACGTATTGGTATTTGTTTCTTTTTTTGTGTGTTTGTTGAAACGTAATTTTTGTATGTTTTGTTAAAAAACTAATTTTAAAACTTATAAATACTACAACGTACGAGATCCGATCCGCCGAAATCTCATAGAATTTAAGCAAAATTTAATGAAACACAAATTACAAATTAAATAAATTAAACGTAAATTAAGAGTTACATATAGGCATAAGGTATATAGAGAATAACTTTTTTAATATATACTATATATACTATAAAGAGAAATATTTGAAAGACGCTCGTGTGTTTTGTGTGGGTGTGTGTGTGTGATCGATTCGATTACGATTTCGATTAGCCAAGGGGAGAATGTATGATCGATTCGATTCGATTCGATTTCGAAAGCGAAGCGAAAGGAGAAATAGAATGCAATGCATAACAGGAAGCACGAAAGAGGTGATCCAATTCGAGTTCGAACGAACATTAAGGGTGGCACAAGAGAACATAAGTTTTGGGGGCCAGGCCGAAGTCTGTATACCCTTTCCCAGCCATCACAAACGGGGGAACAACAACGGGGCGCTATATAACTTGCCATTATATAGAAATTGCACTCAAATTGTGTGTGTGTGTGTGTCTGTCTGTGTGTATGTGTATCTTTTGGACATAACAGAAATTGCACTCAAATATAAATCTATCTTTTAAAAACTTTGTACTTAAAAGTACTCAAGCAGCGGTTTTTTTTTGCCGATTGCACTGTTTTTTGTTTTGTTTTTTTTGTTGTTGTTCCTCTGGGTGCCTTTTTTTTACATTTGTATTCTTTTGTTTTGTTTCTGAATCTTTTTCTGTGTGGGGTTTGTGTGGGTGTGTTCTTATTTAAAAAAAAAAATAATATATATTTATATATATATGTATTCATAATGTTTAAAGGAAATTACTATTTTAGCAACAATCGAGTGATCACATCGTTTAAACATACGTAAACTTTACTTAAAACTACATCAAAATCAATCATAATATAACAACAAATATTAGAGGGCCCATGGCCCAGCGGGCACAGGCTGTGAGGAGGTGGCGGGGGAGGGAGTGCTGGTCAAGGTCTATAAGGTTATCAAAACCGTAACCTGATTTCAAAAATGTCTCTCTCTCTGTGTTCTTTGTTTCCGCAGCAAGTACTATATTTACATTAACACGCGACAAAATGGTTTGAAGAAATTTCCGAAGAATTTCTTCGGATATCTCCTAGAGGGGGTCACTTCCCCAACATGCATACATACCTACAATATAAATATATATAACCCTCCCACTCGATGATGACGGCAACGCGCAGCGTGATAACAATGTAATTAAGGAGCAGGAAAGGGTGTGGTTTGTAGCAGGGACATGTAGTGGGGGCAGGTGAGGGGTTACAACAGATACAACAGATGCTTGACGTATCAATTATCACGCGAAATGCAGTATTACAAAAAATGGATATACACATACGTATATGTATGTATATATAAAGTTTAAACAACATCAATATGATCACCAAAACATTGTTATTATTCTGGAGCATGGGTTTTCCTTTCTTTCTTTTTTGGGGGATGGTCCCCGAAGCAGTTGTACTGCAACGCCATCCCATCCATCACACGACAACAAAATATTTATATACGAAATATATATATACATATATATATATATATATATATCGTATATATACATATATACACATATATATATATATATATATATCGAATATACACATAGAGATAGAGAGATATATAGCTTTATAGCGGAGCGCGAGAGGTTAGAGAGAGATATAGAGATAGATATAGATACGATAGCTAGCCTGTGAGGTTAAGGGCTTTGTGTGTTTGTGTGTGTTTGTGTGTGTGTGTGTGGGGTGGCGTGCCTACTGCGATGTGCTAAAATTTGATGGCGAAATTGAGGCCGGTGGCGTCTCCGTTTCCCCACCATCCACCTGATCCTGATCAGAACGTGCCCTGGGCGTCGGTATGGGCGCACTGCTGGTGCTGGTGCTGCTGCTGCCCAGCGATGTCTGTGCCGAAGCCGCCGCCGCCTCTGCCTCTTGCTCTCGTTCCATCTCCAGCTCTTCGAGTATCTGGGCCCTGTTCTGCTCCCAGTAGTACACAGGCAGTCGCAGCGTCGTGGTCAGCGTGTCGTTGTGCTCCTCCAGCGAATTTGTGGCATAGTGCTCCACGAGCTTCTTAAGCGTGGGATAGATGTTGTAGGGTGCCGCAAAACCAAAGCCACTCTCCGTCTCATAGATGATGCAATGCTGAACATTGCCCTTGCACACAATCGACAGCGCATAGTGGCCGGCATTGCGGGCACGGATGAGGAAGGTTCCAGAGGGTGAGCCGCGGAGCAGCTCCTCGGCATCACGACGCGTTGCATCCTTCAGGAACCAGTAGGACTCGTTCCTGTGTGGCAAATTCAAGACACTCTCGTACTGTTGCCGCCAGTTCGCGAAACCCATCTCGAGTATGGCATTCAGATCGTCATCCGTGAGATTGAATCCTTTCAGGCGCCTAAGAAAGCAAGAGGGAGATAGGAGAAGGGAGGAGTTAGAGAGATTGTTTGAATATAGTTTTAGAGACAGTGATCTAATATTATAGATTCGAAGATTACAAAGGAAAATCGCCAATAAAATGTCTATAAAGCACTTGTCAATTATTAAGATTATTATCCTCAAGAAAACCTATGCAATTTCTATAATTTTTGTATATGTTTTATGGATATATTTTCTTCTAAATGATATAATCTACGATTTTGTATATCAATTCTCCATAAACAGAGCTCTCTTCCATAAAAATAATACTTCTTTTTGATGTAGGTCGAAGATGTACTTAATATCAGGATTAACAGAATTTTTCTTCCATAAACACGATCTTCCAAACGATTTCTGGAGGCTCACTCGGTCGTAAGTTTTTTGATATCTCTGTATATAATTTACTTCATTTTTGTTTATACTTCAAGAATATTTGATCGAAATATCACTTCTTCGAAGGTTGTGCTAATTCAACAAACACTAATTGAGGAATAATTCTGTCTTTAGCCTACTGTCGCTCTTTATAGGAAGATGGCGGCAGAAATTTCAACTGGATTCGAAACTGCGGCGATAAATGTTGGGATGAATAACGCTGCCGCCGTTAAGTCTACGCTCGTCTAGACCTCTGGGTTTCGGCTGGGGCTTTGTTCTTTGCTAACGCAACGGTGGTTCGCGGCTCCTATCGGCACTAAGTGATTCACGCAAGAGATAAGCGATAGGTGGACTAGGTTCCATCATATCAAAAATATCTTCTGGAGCGACTAAATCAAGAATCGGAAACGAACCCCAAAAAACGATAGAGATTAATATTGGATGACTATTGAATCTACTATCTAATGATGCAGCCCAGTCGAATTCCCAGTCCCAGACCCAGCCAAGTGGTCTGCCTCCCCCCTCAACCGAAGTTTTTTTTCTTATCGCCATTGACGGTCCCTAATCTTTGTTTCTTATCGTTTTCTTTTGCAAAAAAAAGCACATTATACATTTGGTTCAATATATTTATGTATATGAATGTGTCTTCCCTATGTAAGTAGTACATAAGAGACAGCACTTGGCAAACTTTTAAAGCCTGATAAGGAAAGCTATCTTTAGCAAAATGTCACTCGGCTCTATTACCTTATCTAACAGTCAGAGACTGCCTCTTTTTTTGGGCTAGTCATTCGTTCATTTGTCCGGGCCACAGTCTAAGTAATGCCCATAGATATGATGACGTACTACACTGTAAAGTTAACGACTGTTGCTATGTATTATTAAACTCAAGAATTAGTTGAATCCAAGAGAAGCGGACAAGTGTTTCTAATCGTAAACTAATAAAGATAGCAAATTGGTTTCGAATAAATAGGCAAGGAAGGTTTTCGTACAAATATCTATGGAAATGGAGATATTTCGATTAAAATTTAGTTGGAAAAAGGGTTGTTTCAAGATTAACTACGGATATGTATTAGAATCTTAAGATGTACTATGTAGATCCATTGGAATATCATAAAGGGATGTGTGCATGGAAAGAAACTGTAAGATCGAGTGAAAGGAGTGGAAAAAGAGGAATATTTTCATTAAAGACAGACTCTGTTTATGGGGTAAATTATAAAAACCTCAATAAAATGCTCTGGAAATTTTCCATAAATTCTTTCTTATATATAAAACCTCGACCTTGACTACAATCCTGTAAATAACTGCAAGTTATTGCGATAAAAGGGCTCTCCTTTAAAAAAAAAAAAAAAAAAAAAAAACAATTGCCATTTATGATAAATACGACCTTGATGTGACAAAGAGGAAAAAAAAGAAAGAAGAGTCTATACTTGTACATATGTATATGTATTATATATTATCATTTTATATGGTCAAGCGATAAAGGGTTCCCGCAAAGAAATTGGAATCCAAGAGACTTTCTAATCAAATGAATGATAAGAGAGGGGACTAGACTCCTCTCCAAGGTAAATTGGGATTTTCCGCCCCAAAGCGAGGGGTCGCTATGCGATAGGAGACACCGATATACTCGCTTAGCGGACCCGACTAAAGATATATACAATATATACATATAAAGAGGGGTTTCCAGCTAAAGGCTTTCCAGGCACGTAGACCCCATGCATGGCTATAGCGCTGCGCTGTTGCTGTTGCTGCTGGCGTGGCCAAAAACCAAAGCCAAACCAAACAATGTTATGCCATTATCATCGGTATCGGTCAGACTTTTGGGACTGGCTGACTGGCTAGCTGCCGGCCGCTGGCTGTTCGAAATGAGCGAACGTCTGTCTGACGACTGCTGCCGCGTGTAAAATGAGCCAGAACCGAGCGTCCGACCGATGAATTTTGTGCATTTACATTCCCTCAGTGGCTGGCGAAAACTGCAAACTGCAGTGCATGTTACCGCCGAGTGCACAGGCCAGCCCGGGCCAGGCCAGGCCAGAGACAGCAACACACAGACAGACAGAGACTCAGAGGCACAGACAATCGAATAGAAGAGGTCTTCTATGACTGTGTATGTCAGTCTGTCGCCTGGTTGCTGGCTCCACTGCGCCACGCTAATCAGCAAACCACTTGGAAAGAGCTTACACATTAAATGACGTCAGCGTGTTCGGGTTGAAGCATTTTAGCACTTACTCAATATATTTGTCCTTGCGCAACTGCAGCATCTGCAGCTCGGGCTTGGTGGCATTGATCTGACGCTCGAGCAGCAGCTCCTCCTTCTTCTTGCACTCCATGTAGTGGTTCAGCTGTTGCATCTTCTCCTGCATGATTTCGAGTAGAGCGAGGAGATGGGCCTGGTTCTCCTGGAGGCTCTGTCGGGTATTGGCATTGTTGCTGCAGGCCGAAGCGGAGGTCCCAGCCGTACCAGCGGCCGTCCCGAGTGCTGATGCTCCTCCGCTTTCAGGGGCACTGCTCTCTGCGGCGGCGGGTGTCTTCATCACCGATTCGTTGAGTTTGATTTGATCGCGAAATATCTTCTCGGCATTCCCAAACACGCCCTGATGGATCTTCTTTTCCTGCAGCTCCTCCCGAATGGCATTGAAGGAGTTCTTCTTCTGATCGAGGTTCTGTTCCAGCTGCTGCAGCATCTGCGATGTGCGTATAAACTCGTTGCTCAGCAGTCCAAGATCCCCATGTGGATGGGCGTCATCCTCCTCGTAGGTTCGCACAATCGGATGGCTCAGCATTATGTCCAGCGTCTTGTTGTACATATTCAGGGAGTTGGCCTTGTAAAAGTTGACCATATCCACCACCGAATTGAACAGTTTCTTCTCAATGAACCCGTACATGCCATTGATGTGGCAGATCTTTATCAGCTTCTCGTTTCCGTCCTTCATCAGTGTCAGTGTGTATTCCCCCTTCTTGGAGAGCGCATCGCGCACCAGGAAGCTGCCATCGGGCATTCCGTGCAGTATATTCTTTGCCTCCTCGCGTGTGATTTGCCCCCAATACCAGGGCGCCATGCGAAGTTCGTCCTCGTAGGGATCGACCAGCGATCCGGGAGCCTGTGGCCGCATCGTCGAGTAATGCAGCGGCGAGGGTTGCACTGCAGCGAAAAAGATAAAAGCATATAATTGTAAGGTTGTAAGGAAAAATGTACAAAAGATTGAAAAGTTAACATTCAATTCGATAGAATGAACTCTGAGCAGAAGTTAAGAGATCTTCAACACAAAATACAATCTACAGAAATCTACAGATCTCAAAACACGAACTCTTCAAATCATATTACGGGGTTTCAACCCAAAAGACTACACTTCACAATCCACAAAAGATATCTCCAACCAAACTCTCTCTCTCTCTCTCTCTCTCTAAGCAAATGAGATCTCAGCCCCAAAAACCTCTCACAGATAGTACGATATGCAATAGTACGCTACACATGTAAGCGACTATAGTGGCGTCCCGGCTCTCGCTTGTTGCCAAGCGCTCTCGCTCTGGCCATGCCGTCCGTGCCATCTTGAGCAACCCTGAAGCGAGGGGGGGGCGACGATGATTTAGGTACTCACTTGTGTTGGCTGTTTTATTTGTCTCTGGGTGGGGGAGGGGGAAAGCAGCAGGAGGAGGTTAACTGGCGGCGGCTTAGTTTCGATTATTGAATTTAGATTCGCGTATTTTCTTGTGGTGTGTTAATTTCACGCTTATAGCTCGCCACACTACCACTACCGGAGCAGCACACACATCTTTCTATTCTCGATTTCGCGATTCGGACTGAGGGGAGACACACACGCGCACACATACACCACCGCACACTAATACTACGGCAATACGACACAGGTTAAAATAATGGTTGGCTTTAATGTACAGGATTCGTATGGTTTTGAGTTTGGTTTTTCGACTATTGTGTCCAATTTCGCTACTTCAGTGCTTTGGGTATGGCCGGGTTTGTGGGGTTAACTTAAAACATTTTTATACGGCACTTTTGGACGACAAAAAAAAATCACAATCGCACGCGGACTTATCGATCAGTGTGGCCAGTGTTATCGATTCCCACAGAAATATACCGAAATACACCGTCTCACTATCAAAATATACCGTAAATATACCGATGCATAGATAGATATACCGATATAAAGGTATATAAATGGGCACACCATTTTTGTCGGAAGAAATCGTGCGGTGCTGTTTAACGTGTGGAAAATAGTAAAAAGAGCAGAGGACTGTACAACACTTGGGCGGAATATTCAAATGGAATCTCGTTCTTTGACTCATTTATTTTACATTCAAAAACTTATTTTAGAGCTAAGCTACAGCATATATTGTAGTAAGAAAATAAGGATTTTGCGGATGGAGCCCTACTCCAGCCATCTGCGTAAATCAATTAGGCAGACACTCCAGTTTTGTAATTAATTTCTTTAGTTAGTTGTAGTTATAGTCGATCTGCGTTTTAGGCGTTGCGATTTCTAAGGTAATGTTTAGCGTTAATTTTTTGTGTTTGCCCTCCTCTTTATAAATTGGTAAACGATAGTTTAGTTATGAGGCTTGCGCCATAATGGTGCAATAAGGTTCGTATAATGCGTATTATTGGTTTTGTTTTCTTTCTTCTCCTGAATGTTTATCAATATGTTTTGTTTGTTTGTATGTGTATATGGAGTGCCTAATGTATCTGAATGATGCCCGATTCCAGCAGCTTCATTATCTTATCGGCGATTGCAGGATTCTGCAAGTGTCTGTAAAACAAATATCAATTAGGAAAAGCTACTCGTTAACAATTATGTGATAAATCGAAAACTTACTCTTTCACAGCATTTGGATCGTTCTGCATCTGTTCGAGGATCATGCGCATGGCCGGGTCTTTGAGGATCTGCTGAATTTCGGGATCCGACATGGCATTCTTGAGCACCTCTTGGGGATTGCGTTGAAAGTTCATCGAGCTCTGACGGTAGCCCTCGATGGCCTCGGCATTGTTAGGGTCGAGTTCCAGCGCCTTCTGGTAGGCAGCCGAAGCCTTAGAGGTCTGCTGCATGCCTTGTAGAATTTTTCCCTTGCGTATGTACCCCTTAATAAACTTCTCGTCCAGCTTGATGCAAGTCTCGCAATCCTTGAGACCCAGATCAAAGGCGGCCAGCTTCGTGTAGCAGGCAGCACGATTACTATACAGCTTAGGATCGTCGGGATTGCGCTTGATGGCCTCCGAGTAGTGCTTGACGGCATTGCTGTAGTCACCCTTCTTGAAGAAGTGATTGCCCTGCTCCTTCTCCTCCTCGGCCTTCTCAGGATTGATGTAGGCCTGACGCTCCTGCTCCTTGATTTTGGCCTCCATCTCGCTGAGCGACGTCTTGATCTCCGGCGTCCGATGTTCGGACATGGCCTTCTCAAAATAGATCTTGGCCTGCTTGTAGTTCTCAAGCTTGCGATAGGTGTTGCCGATGCGGGCAAACGATTTGGCAATCAATTTGAAATCGGATCGGTTTTCACGGCCCACCTCGATGCCTTTCTCGCACTGCTTAATGCACTCCTCGTACTCCTTGCGCTCAAAGTACACCGCAGCAATGTTGTTGTAGAACGTGATGTCTGTGGGATCATGTTCGATGGCAGCATTGTAGTGCTTGAGAGCATCATCAAATTCCTTCTTCTTGTACGCCGCATTGCCCAGCTCCTTCTCCAGCTTGGCAAAGTACTTCTTTTTTTCATCCTCGCTCATATCCTCCACCCTAGGCTCGGCTGGCTTTGCCGGCTCGGCAGTTCTACGTGGTGGCGAGGGGGCCCGGCGTGCTCGCGGCATCTGTGGATCAATGTCCATTGGAATGTCGCCCTGCGACTGCATATAGCTAAGCACTGAGGCGGTGATCTCTTGACGGCCCTGCAGCAGAACTGCATTTGTGGGATCGTACTTGAGGCCTATGCGAGTGGAAGGAGGACGGGGGCGGTCGAGGGGAAGTCAAAGTGAGGTTATGTTGAGGCCAGACGAGATGATTCAACCACTTACCCTCGTTGAACGCCTCGAAGGCCTTCATGAAGTCATGCAGGCCAGCTGCGGCGGCACCCTTGCGCGAGTATCCCTTCGGCCAGGTGGGATTCAGGGCGATGGTTTGTTCGGCGTCCTTCAAAGCCTCAGCAAATTTCCCAGCCTTGGCATAGGCGGCCGACCGGTTACTGAACAGAACATGGTTTTGGCTGTCCAGGGCAATGGCTTCTGTGTAGGCTGCAACAGCCTCGTCAAATTTTTCGGCATTCAGGGCAGTGTTGCCCTTTTCCTTGAGTTCATTCACCTGCTAATGGCCCAAGGGCTGTAAAAAGGATGTTCTCCTTTGTCCTGTTACTCCACCTACCTGTTCCATTCTTTTCACCGCTGATGTAATGTTATTAATGCGCTTCTTTTTTTTTTAACTTGTTGGAACACGCTGTTTCGTTTCGGCCGAAATTTCACGAAAATTCACAAAAAATGCCGACTTTTCTAGAAGCTATCCACCCTTCCTTTTTCCGAATATACCTTGAAAGCAAAATCAGTGTGACCGTCTGACCCTTGCCCTCAGAAATACCTCAGCAGTTTCAGTATCACTACGTTTTTTTTACTAAACTTTTTACTAAAACGTTTTTGTAGACGAGATCCAATAAAAGCAAGTATTTAAAATAAGACAGTCAAGTAAAAACTTGATTCATTAACGGCCTAAAACTATGTGGGCAGAACTAAGGGTTTTAGTTAGCCAGAATATTTCGACGGAATATCAGATACGAGAAATATGTATGATGGAACTTGAATTCGTCAGTATATTTACGGTATATTTCGAAAATGAGACGGTATATCTCGGTATATTTCTGACAGTAAGACCGTATATCTAGTTCAATTCGGTCACACTGCAGACGCTGTTTTTTTACGTGCGGCAGGCGAAAATTTGGAAAAACTGGCGAAAAAAAGTACACAAAAGGAGGAAAGAACTTAAATTGTCTCGCGTCAATCAACCATAGCTCGAATTGAAGCACACCAGTTTTCCAGAAGCAGTTTCGTTTCAGCTCCACTGTAATGGCGGAGTATTTGGCATCCATTTTTGGCACGGAAAAGGACAAGTAAGTCAGCATGGTTCCGCTTCTGCTGTACCTGGTGTTTTGACTAATTGACGCTTGCAATTGCAGAGTAAATTGCTCGTTCTACTTTAAAATTGGCGCCTGCCGTCATGGAGACCGATGCTCCCGCATACACAACAAGCCGACATTTTCGCAAACAGTTCTCCTACAGAATCTGTACGTTAATCCGCAGAACTCGGCCAAATCGGCGGACGGGTCACATTTGGTGGCCAATGTATCAGACGAGGAAATGCAGGAGCATTATGACAACTTCTTCGAAGACGTTTTCGTTGAATGCGAGGACAAGTACGGAGAGATCGAGGAGATGAATGTGTGTGACAATCTGGGCGACCATTTGGTAGGCAATGTCTACATCAAATTCCGGAACGAGGCCGATGCAGAAAAGGCGGCAAACGATTTGAATAATCGCTGGTTCGGTGGCCGTCCTGTCTACTCGGAATTGTCGCCGGTGACCGATTTCCGTGAAGCCTGCTGCAGACAGTACGAAATGGGAGAGTGCACACGTTCCGGATTCTGCAACTTTATGCATTTGAAGCCCATCTCGAGGGAACTGCGAAGGTATCTATATTCTCGGCGCCGGCGTGCCCGCTCCCGTTCCCGCTCGCCACGTTCTCGTCGCTCCCGCAGTCGGGGGTCACGTTCACCCCGCCGACGTCGTGATGGCAACGATGGAGTTGGCGGAGGCCACTACGAGCAGCGCGATAGAGCTGCCAATGAAGGACGAGGCATGGATCGTGGTGGAAACGATCGGGGTGGCAATGATCGAGGGGGCAACGACAGAGGCGGCAATGATCGAGGTCGCAAAGGCGGTGGCGGCGGTGGAGGTGGTGGAGGCGGCGGCGGCGGTGGTGGTGGTGGTCGTTATTAGTCTTCTAGACTTTCTTCAGCATCATGTTGCAAACGGCAATGCAATGGACAACGGGAAAACGGACATGAGTCGCCAATTCGTGTATTTTATTTCGACGTTCAGTTTCCTTCTGATTGTTTTTTATTTAGAAGAAAGGGGTCTTCACCACCTATGTACAAACCCCCTGCTAAATACTTTATCGAGCGCCCATTAGGATTGTAATTACTATACACACATTCGTAATAATAAAAATTGAGTAAATACTATATACAAAAACCAAACAAATGCACCATCTGGTGTGTATTCCGTTTCTCTTACTGCACTGTATGTACTTAATCGTATGCAAAATTTTGGACTATATAGAATTTTTAACTCAATCTGTGGGCTGGCTGGGTGGCGCTTCCTGAGCGGCGGGATGAGCTTTAAGATTTGATGCAGGACTCTTGGGCTGTTTCTCCACCTGCGCCGGCTGCGATTCTGCCGGAGACGACTGTGCCTGCGGCTCTGGTGACGCCGAAGAAGCCTCCAGTGCCTTCAGTTGCTTTGTCATATCAATTTGTTGCTGCAGCGTATATCTGTTTTCATGTTTACGCCTCTGCTGCTGCTCCACATCGCGTATAACACCCTCGTGAAGTTTGAGACTGGAACGGAATGCAATCATTGGTTATCTTATAAGTTCATTCATGAATTTGGTCCACTTACCGGTCTTCGGATTGTTTATAATGCACATAACCTATTATGGCGCTGGAAACGGTCACCGCCACGCCCAGGGTAACCCTTGAGGTCAGCGACATTTTTACAATTATTTTTCTTGTAAAGCCCACAATTCTAATTTTGTTTGTTTGTTAAAAGTTTGAACAGATTGAATTGAACAGTTTATAGAGTAATTACGACATGACTGAAAGTAAAATACCAGCCAGTGTGACCGTACACGTTAACACGTACACCGTTCTAGTCTAAGAGGACCTATGAAGTACCAGAGTAACCGTAACAAACTATTTCCCGGTCCTGTGGACCTCACCTCCCATGTGTACGATATTCTTAAATTTATCCACGTTACAGATGCGGAAAAATTTACCGACACACGGGCGTGGTAGGAATGGGAACTAATGATGGGCGGACTATCCGAATCTTCAAGATTTTCTTCACAAATAGAATCATATTGTTTGCCTATATAGAGATGTAGATCGAGTAAATGTGAGCTTAGGGCTAATGTCCCTGTCCAGGACAGTCCCTTCTTAGGAGTTCTTCTGTGGAACCTTCACAATGACGCTCTTGACCTCCGTGTAGTTGGAGAGTGCATACTCCCCGTTCTCGTCCGAAGGAAGCCTGGCCAGCCAGGGCATTGTAGTGCCGGCACGCAGGCAACCGACAATTTAGTTGGCATAGTCCAGATCCTTGGTGAAGAGAGCGGCGGCAAGGACGTACTTCGAGTTCGATGACCCCGCTCGATGAATCAGCTGCTGGACGGGCCCGAATATCTTCTCGCGGGCAATGGGCATGTTGTCTCGGACATCGGCGAACACCGTTGGCTGGACAAAGTAGCCGGGAAGGCCTTCGAGACGGCTACCGCCGGCCACCACGCCGGCCCTGCTGGATCATGCCAAGGATCTTATCCATCTGCTCCTGGTTGATCTGGGGATCCTGCTCGGTGTTCAGATCTAAGGGTTGCCCACGGTCCTCTTCTTGGCACGCCCTGCACTGCGCTCCACGAACTCGTCGTAGATCTTATCCTCCACAAAGGTGCGAGAGCCGGCACAGCAGCACTGGCCCATGTTGAAGAAGAGGCCGAATTGGGCCGTCTCTACGAATAGAGTCAGAAAGGATAATGTTGGGGGACTTTCCGCCCAACTCCAGGGTCACGCGCTTCAGGTTCGTGTGGCCGGATGCCAGTTGGATGAGCTTGGCTAGGGCAGCGCCGGCCACATTGACTGCTCAGCTGGCTTTAGGAAGATGGTGTTGCCGGTAGCCAGTGTGGGTCCCAGCTTCCAGGCCTTCATCAGAATGGGGAAGTTCCAGCGAGTGATCAGTCGGCAAAATAGCGCAGATTCTTGATGGCCGTTGGGAGATCTATATCCAGCGTTGGTCTTCTCTGTGGTCGGATTGTTGTTCCGGGGTGGTCTGGGGGCTGAGGCAGCGCGAAATACTGCGACAAAGGGCGCCACGGGAAAATATCCCCCACAAATCCAATTGAGATGGCAGTGCTTCGATAAGTCGCGACAGCTGCTCGCTGGTGGTGGCAGTTTCTCAATATCGATTGTGCTATTGATTAAAAAGGAATACCGATGGTTTCATATCGATGGTTTTATATCGATGAGTATCGATATTTACCGCAAACCATCCATCGAATTAGCCCGCGCACTTTGAACTATTCAAACTAGAAATGGCACTGCCTTGGCTATTTTTCTTATCTCTGGCTTTGACGCAATGACTAAAATATTATCTAAATATTGTATGTTATCGTGTTGGCTGATTTCTAACGCTGATATAGCTGCATGATGCTCCTCAGTTTGTTTGTCTGCTGTGGAAATAAGCTGATGAGCTGCCATAGTATGTGTCTCTACTGGTTGCGATTCATTCAGATTATTGGCCATTAACAAATGTGGCTGTCCCCATACAGTAACGCATAAGGAAGGGAAAGGAAGGGCCCAAACCCCTGGAATAGGCACGCAGCTCCCCAATTCTGGACATGCGCACGACCAACAAAAGAAAAGGGAATAATGAAACCAAAACCAAAACCGAAACCAAAACCGAAACAGAAGCAACAGCACAAGTACAACCACACAGTACAAAAGCCAATGCGGCGTATGAGTAACATTTAGCCAGGTCCACAGTGCGACTCCAGTTTTCCACACGTTCAGTTTTCAGTAGTGCCGCTGACACGAAGAGGAGAACACCACTAGGCACCAGGGGGATAAAGAAAGTCCCAGATACAAGAACAAACAAAACAACAAAGGAAAAAACAAGAGAAATATTTTACGTGCGTGCGATTTTGGCGTGCGCTGGTTTTTTGTGATTTGTTTAAAGAAGAAATCAAAATTGTTCTTAACGGGCATAAAAAACCATTAAGTTATTAACATATGTACACCATAAACACTTCGAAAGCCACAGGGAACTTCAATTTGTGCAATTCTTGTGTGTTGTTTGTGTTTCAAGACCCATAGTTTCTTGTCTTTTGTGGCTTTAAATATTTATGTCAGTGACGCAAATATTGATTTAAATTTGTGCGCGCTTTGGGCTGGCCTAACGTCTGAAGAGGTCTGACGAGAGGGAGGTGTTACAGAGAGGTGTTTCGGCACGAACTTGTAACTTACCTTTAACCTCAAAGCCCCCCACTTTCGTAGCCTCTTTTTACGTTCTTTTTATTTATTCACAAGGAGCTGCAAACTGAAGTTTCCCCCCTTTTGTTTCGGCTCTCGTTTATAGTTGTTCAAATCTACGTATAGACAGGATGACCAAAGTGGAGCTATACAAGTCGCGTTTATTTGTGACAATCATTCATCTGTGTGCCCTGGGTCAGTTCGCCTATGGCCTCTATTATAGCCATTTCGAGATACAGCGCAGCTACAAGCTCAAGACTACAGCGAGTCGTCGCCTGGTACCGGATTCACTGCCCCAGAAGGTTAAATTTCTGTCCTACTGGTCCCTGGTGAGTCGATTTATGGATCATTTATATACCCCCTGCCGTGCCCCTGCCCCTGCCCATACTGGACCTGGATATATGTATCATGACCAGTAAAAATGCGACGGAAATGCGGCCAGCTTTTGGTTATTTCAAGTGTGCTGTGCAGAAAAAATGATTATTATTATTCCTGTATCTGCTGGTGCTCTCTCGGTATTCCCCATTTATGTCTGCCATATGTTTATTTGTTTGTCTGCTCATTGAGGTTGTTCAAGTTGTATTCTCCCACTCCCACTCCCACTCGCCCTCTTCTTTTCTTTATTTATTAATTCTACATACTTTTTGCCCATATCTGTGGCGCTATGGAGCGATACGAAAATCGGTGCATTCCTCATTTCCATTGCACTTTTCGTTGTGTTGTTGTCGTTGCAGAATCTTCTGAGAACTCATTCCATTTCTTCTCTTCCCACAATATTTATTTGCTCAGATGTTCGCCGACCGGACCAACCAAAAATGTATGGTACTGACGAATGCCAGATTATCTTATTGGCGCGAATGTTCGTTTGGGGGATGGGTGGGCAATGGTATGGTTATGGTACGAGTGCGGTATTGTCTGGGTTGGTTGGCAGGCGTCAAAACTCATTTACATATCGTTAAAATTGCTTAGAAAATCGATCGGCTATTGAATATTTCTCACATCCACTTAGCAACCAATGAAATGTTTGAGGGGCTGCTGTCATCAGGGAAAGGCAATTATTTAGCATTTATTCGAAAATGATATGGAGCCACACGTTTTGGCTATGAATTTTCCTTGCGGTTTTATCCAGGAAAGTTTTTAAGTTTTAGTTTATTATTGAACAACCTTGCCTGCCCTTGATTAATCCCCCTCCCCGCCCACCTTCTTTCCGCCCTCTTTCAACGCTTTGATCTTGTGAGCATAAAGTGCTCCATATCTATAGATCTGCACTCGTTTTTCATTTATTCTTTAGCAAATTGCTTTTATGTAGTCCCACGAGCAATATTTCGATACCATTTACCATCCGGTTCTAAACTTTTTAGCTGCTACTATTTTTTGTTCTTCTTTTTTTTGGGAATTTCAATGGCTTCCGTCAAGCGCCTCCGTGTATGCCGGGACGGACGGAGGGATAATTGTGTATATCAGCGCAATCAAAATAAAAAAATAAACTTCAACTATTTTCTGGCCAATAATTGCATTGTTGGAGCAAAGCAAAATATATCAAGAGGAAGATACAAAAAAAAAAAACAAAACATATGTTTACAGATATAGAATATAGAAACTTATATATACATACATGTATGGAACATACAATGTACAGATACATATGTATGTTTGTTGATTGGTGAGTCGTTTTGTTGATTTCCAACGATTTATTAGTCTGATATTTATAAAGCGAATTTATGGAATCCGGGAGTGTGATCTGAGGCTCTGAAAAGTCGACTAATTTGTTCTGTTTTCGAATAAATATCTAATACCATACATGCTTTCTACAACCTTAAAATATGGAATACTTAAGATTCAAGATCTTGCAATCGACTTCTGGGAGTTTGAAGATATATTTTAGGAATTTATTACTTCTTCTTTACTCCTAATCTATGATATGTTTCAAAGAATCTAAACCTTTCTCTAGGAAATCTTTGGTAAAAAGTGGCTTTAAGTCAGTTCCCAACCCTTTCTCACAATGAAATCTACATGGATTCACGGATTATTCTTCGCAATAATCTATAATCTTTCTTTGACATTTACCATTTACAAAACCCCTTAAAATATGGAGTATACCCTACTTTTGAATACTCTATGACAATCGATTTTGTTTAGCTGTGCCTGTCCCATTGGTCTAGTTTATTTGCTCTCGCTGAAAGGTTTCGATCTTGATTGTTATCTATATTTATGTAGCATTCAGTCTGGAATGGGGGAATGTTCTCGTGATATCCAAACAAACGCAACGCCCCCAAATACAGAGGGAACAAATTTCAGAACAATCACAAACAAAATTCAGTTGAAGATTCATTCGTATGGCATCATGTGGTGGTCGGTGCCGTTGCCCATTGTGGGCCTGATCTTGATCACTGGCCAAGTTGCGACAGCCACAAAGTGGTATAGCGGTGGTGCAGACTTCAATAGTCCTTCCGCCTGGGTGGATGACTATATGCCCTGTCCGGAAGACTTGGTGGTGTTTCCCAAGTATTTTCCTGCTGTTCTTCCACTGCCTGAGGAAATCTCCATTGACGGCATAGTGTTCCCCAGGGATGGGGCCATACTGATTGCTGAGGAGTCTACCATAACCTTTGGCGCTCCAAGGAATACCAAGTGTGACAGCGATGAAAAAACAGCCCATCTGAAGCCGCCAAAATCAAGTAAATGGTTTGATCCACACACCTGGAAATGGGCGGACATATCGAAGAGTGTATCATCCCCCGTGCCGGAGTTGGAGCGGGTGCCCTGCGACGATGAGCAGGTCATTGTCAAGGGTCATGCGCCACTCGCCTTCGATCTGGAGAATGTGCAGCACCTCCGGTTGGGGCAATTGATTCTAGCCGGCTCCTCCATCTCCAAGTTCTATTTGGAGCAGCTCTTAGCCCGAGATCTGGGAAGGTTCCTCTTCCACAACGCTCTGGATGTCCAAGTGGAGTATTACCGCGGAGAGTTGTGTGGCTGCCACAAGGACTTTGATCGGCTCATTGAGCCTGTCTGCCACAATGTCCAGGAGCAGTGCGAAGCACCTCATTGCCTCTCGCCAGTTCGTCCCTTTGGTTCCTGTTGCCTGATCTGCGGTGCTGTCCTTACGATGCCGCGGCAGCACTGCTCCGAGGAGGATCGAAAGACCCTGCAAAACCAACTCAATTCAATGATCACCAAGCAGGATCTGGCGGCTGAGATTCAACTCCATGTGGATTATGTGAGCTCTGAGCAGTATGGCAGTTTCCTTCAGGCCATTGTCACAGATCGGGGTGGCTATAGCGAGAGGAGTGTTGAGTTCATGCAATACCTGTCCGAGCATCGCAATCAGAGCACGTTTCTGGCCAAGCAGAGTGGCTTAGAGCTAAAGTCATCCGGTCGTCCACACAACCCGAATGTCAGCTTTGCCTCCGTCCTCCTGATACTCTTTTGCATGGCCCTGGTGGGCGTTGTGAGTGTCATTATTTTGGCCCACTTTATGCCGGAGAATCCTTACCTGAATCGCATTCCCCAATGGATACACGATCCCCGTCGCTGGCGGTGGCGTCACTTGGGAGTGAGGCTGCGCCGTAATCCCCTCTTCAATCGTTTTGAGAATGTGGTAGCTGGTGGCGGCTCCATCGAAGACCCTCGCGGTGGTGTTGTTGGTGTGGATCGCGTTACTGTGATGGGCTACGATCCCGGCAACGATGAGGTGAGGGAAAGGTCCTTTGACAATCCCATGTTCGAGCAGGGGGCTGCACAGGTAGCTTCCAGAGCGGAGGCTTCCAAAGAATCACCTCAGGATCAGCCAGATTTGATGGTTGCTCCTAAAATGGAGACCGGTGACCTGGACAACTGTGGTGTGGAGGAGCAGGAGCTAACCGAAATCAATTTGGAATCTTCAGAGGGCGAAACGGATGAGGAGGCGCAAATATAGCATTAAAGCATATATTGTTTGGTTATTTATATTATCAGAGACCAATCGGTAAATTACAACAAAAAAAAACACCTCTTCTGGCTAATGAAACTTGATAATATAGTTAACGGGCCTTTCGTGACGTAGGCACACGTAGCTTTCCGCTGACCTTGCCCCCTGACCTTCAGAGGCACCTAATGGAATCGATAGTTGCCGTTAGTTGCGTTGAACGTCGAAGAGCTATTGTATTGTCACAAATATATGCATCTATTTCTAGGATACACGGCACATCCCCTTCATCATATTGGGGGCGGAGGGACAGCAGTTGAAAGAACACTCAAGAGGGTAGGAGGGTGGTTTAGAGGTTGAGTCTTTCCAAAGCGGATTAAGTACTCCTCTCAAGTTCTCAAATTAACTTCTGTCAATTCATACTTTGTACCACGGCGGCGGTTGCGACAGATAAGCGAACCGGCCCAACCTTATCAGTATCAGAACAGAACTCATACATACTTATATGAAATACAAGTGCAACTGCTGTTAGTAGCTGGTCTGCGGCGGCTAATCAGTACGTATCTGGCATTCGGAAGTTTAACATTAAACATGGCCAAGCCCAAGACGAAGTCGAACAGCAAAGGAGCCACATCACCGGGCTTCAATAAGGCGGTGCAATTATTGCTGCATTTCACGGCCGTCCTGCAGTTCTGCTATGGTGTATACACTTTTCACACCACACAGATGCCCAATACGGTTCCCTTTGCTGGAAAATTCAAGTTTTTAACGTTTATTTGTGCGGTAAGCAAAACACGACAACTCTGGAAAGAAAAATATCAAACAAAAAATATCGTTTACTGTCGATACTGGTGTTTTATGTTGCTGGCAACATTCACTTTGTATGGGCCAGACTCATGTGCCGAGAAATCGAGCAGCATTGTTCCACAACAAGGCGCGGATTGAGCAACATTTGCATACCCTGTGGAAATGGATGTTATAGATTGAGAAAATGTTTGTCATCCCATGCTCCAAAGAAGGCAAAAACAACTTAGTCTCTGTTTTAAATATTACAACGATATTTTGCAATTCATTGTATTCTTACAGAGACCAAGAATAGGTATCAGGATCGAGATATATATATGCAAGATATCAATATATGTCTTAAACATATCAGTTTGAGAAAAGGTCTTAATTAATTAATAATATGAAATCTTCATATTAAATTAACGAAATAGGGTATACAAATGCCTATACACGCATCATGTCTTCAAATACCAGCAACATTGCGACTGTTTTTTTTTTGTTGAACTATTTTGTTCAAGCCTTTTTTTAGCCAAAATACAACAGAAGCAAGGACTAAAAACTAGCCAATCTTGAAGAAAATGTATTCATCAACGGCCTAAAACTATGTGGGCAGAACTAAGGGTTTTAGTTAGCCAGCATTATCCCGCGGAATATCAAAAACGAGGAATATGTATAACAGAACTTGAATTCGTCGGTATATTTTAAAAATGAGACGGTATGTTTCGGTATATTTCTGTGGGTCGGACGGTATATTTTAACGATAAAACCGCGACCAGTACATCCATTCATATTTTGTTTCGTTTGACGACCGGCCGTGAAAAAATCAATTAACTGCCTCAGAAATGGGTACAGCGGCGAGAACAAACTCCGTTTACGGTGGTGTTTATGGGGCTCTGCGGACTCTGATGCACCTAACGGCCGCCGTACAGTTCACCTATGGCATATACTATGACTATTCGTATGTGGAGTTCCCAACAACCGAGCCCGAGATGAGGATTCATCATCCGTTTGGTGGGAAGTTTAAATATCTAACATTTTTGGATGCGGTAAGACAACACAGAGCATCATCCCATGAATACTAATTACGGTGGTTTAAAGTTCAGTTGCTAACTCGGTTTGAATCTAATCTGAAAACGATTGGATAACGCGCTTGCACGCAGCTGTGATTGGGGGAAGTAATTCCTTCCACTCCACTCCACTGAACAGGCAAACAACCCTTCAACACACAGACAACACGCCACATACGTACGAGTATCTGTCTGACCACCCGTTTACCTTCCTTTCCCCACTTGCAGTTAATACAGGCTCTCTACTATATCGTTTCACTCGTCAATGATTTTGTGGGCACAAATGAGCTGGCACCCAAGCGGCCCCCTGCCATACGGCAATTCAAGGACTGGCTGATGGCCACCCTCGCCTTCCCCGTGGCTCTCAATGTGGGTGTCACCTTCTGGACGCTGTATGCCATCGACCGTGAACTCGTCTTCCCCAAGGTCTTGGACCCCGTCTTTCCCAGGTGAGTGAGAGTGCGCTTTTCTTCTATGCACTCTTAATAATTGAATTTAATTTGCGTTTGCAGCTGGCTGAACCATGTCCTCCACACCAATATTGTTGTCTTCATTGTGCTGGAGCTGTTTACCTCGTATCGCGCCTATCCCAAACGCAGCAAGGGTCTCACTGGCCTGACCATCTTCATGGGCGCCTATTTGGTGTGGATTCACATTGTCAAGCATTACTCCGGCGTCTGGGTGTATCCGGTGTTGGAGGTGTTGCAGCTGCCGCAGCGCATTGTCTTCTTTGTTGCCGTGATTGGGTTTACATTAGCTCTCTACCTGGTCGGCGAGTTCTTGAACAACACCGTGTGGGCCAAGGAAGTGAAGCTGGCCAAACGCAAGTCCAACTAGGCTGTGCATCTACTTAGCTAAGAGTGCGGTTACGGTGTTGTGTAGTAGTCACGTTTAATTAGTAACTATATACAAAGAAATAATTCGCTTATATATTTTACATACCTATTAAAATGTGAACCTGTCTTTAACATAAAGAAGTCTAGAGAAGAAAAAACCAAACCACACAAAACTTGCTAATGATATTTCTATTCTTAATAAGAATTACATTACATTATTGTATTTGAGATTAATAGTCGTAGTTTCACTGTTCTCCTGAAGGCCTGACCTGAGACCTGAGAGCAATGCAAGACGTCTCGGTTTTCGGTTTTAAATAGCTGAATCGTTAAGTGAAATTTGCCTTTTTCAAATTGAAACCTCATATCAAGGCACATCAAAACACTTTGAATACCTGCGTTAAATCCTGTAATTTCAAATGTAATATTATAGTACGAGTATCATAATAAAATCGCAAAACTCTGGTTTAGTCAAAAATAAAGATTTTGAAAACGAGCGCTTCAAATATACTGTTATCTGTCAAAACAAAAGATCTGTGACGAGATAAATATTTGTTTGTTTGTGGAATAGCTGTAGTGTAAGGTGAGCCGCCACCGCCCCCCCAAACAGCTGACCACATCAGGGTATATTGCATAGAAGGTAGGTGCGAGGGGCCTAATAAACACCCTCATAGCCGGCACAATCATTGGAAATCCAATCAAACAATATCAAACCAAACCAAAAAAAATGACCAAAAGCAAAAAGAAAACACGTGAATCAAACAGCGCCAAGGAAGCCGCCCAGGCCACCAATGACCGTCTGGACACTTGTAATGATGCCTATACAAGCGGCGCCTTCAAGTACCTGCGACTCCTTGTGCACGTGCTATCAGCGGCACAGTTCTCGTATGGAATTTATTTTCACTATTTCCGTGTGCACTGGCCCAAGGATCTGGAGGAGGAGGAGCTCAAGGCACGCTGGGGCGGCAAATTCAAGTATCTAACATTCCTGGACGTCATATTGCAGGCCATATACCATAGCTTGGCCTTGCTGAACGATCTTTTCGGCGACAACACGGTCCACGTGGCGTCAAAGTCCAAGCTGCGATCTGTGCGCGACTATATTTTTTCGGCACTGGCCTTTCCCGTCGCCCATAATGTTTGCATCTCATTCTGGGTCATTTATATATGGGATCGTGAGCTCATCTTTCCCTCGGCACTGGACGCCATATTTCCGAGGCAAGTGACTATAATTATTTTAATCACGTTTACGTGGCATTTATGTATAATGAGTTGTTAACCTTTTGTCCTTTTGCAGCTGGCTGAACCATGTGGTGCATACGAATGTGGCTCTGCTGGCGGTAATGGATATGTTTACGTGCTTCCGGAAATACCCCAGCCGCCTGGCCGGCGTCACGGGCAACATTTCCTTTATCCTACTGTACATTATTTGGCTGCACATAGTTCGTTACTTCAGCGGCGAGTGGGTCTATCCCATTTTGGAGGTGTTACCTCTGGCGTTCCGCTACCTGTTTCTGGGCCTTTTGGTGGGCTTCAATCTCGTTTGTTACTTGCTGGGCGAGTTCTGCAACAGCATTGTCTGGGCACAAGAGCTGAAGCTGCTGCAACAGCAGCAGAAGATCAAACAGGGATAGGATTAAGGATTTAAAATCGTTTTATTAGTCACACAAAAAACATATGAGATATTTTGTAAACGTTGTAAAGGCACTTTCTGTAATACCATTTGTGTTCTTGCGTTATTCGTTGTGCTTGTTGGTCGCCCCTGAAAGAGGCTGCAGCTGCTGTTTCTGCACTTGTTATAGCGTTGTAGCTATATTTAATCTATAGTCTAGTGTTTAAGGAAACATCATTTACATACAGACACTGAGGAGGATGTACTTAAGCGCTAAATGGGATGGGATTTGTAAGAACATTCGAAAGTCTAAATCTATGAGTATTTTCGTAAATCGTAATTTCGCTTAATTCTGCTCAATAAAACAATTAAGGAAGACGCATCATCGGACTTGTCCGAGGCTGAGGCTTTTGTGCCATGAATGCCCTTCACAATATATGTAAATATAAATTCTATCGAAACCATGCTGTAAGGATGACGTGAAGGGCACACAAATATACGAGTAGTTTTCGAAACTTAAGTAAATGCATTGGATTGAGTATTATCCGCCAGTCTTACTATTTGGAAGGAAGCAGCAGCATTTTCAGCTTGTCCGATTCGCTCATAAATGTGGGCTCACCTCCCCTGTGATGTCGGTGGCCATTGTGTCCCAGCAGGGATTGCATCTCGGTGTCTCCCTCTTCGTTGGCGGCGTCGTTGCGCTGACGACTGGCCGCATTCAGCAGTCGCATCGCCTGCTGCAGCTCCTCATTGCCGTACGATGGTATGTTCAGGTTGGCAATCTCGAAGGGAGTGGCTTGAATTCCCACATCACAGCTGGTCTTGCTGTTGCGCGAATGGGGCTTCCCCATCGACATCCCCGAATAGGAACTATGCATCAGACTGCCGACATCCAGGGCAACGTCCAGCTCCACAGAGGAGCAGCTGAGCGAGTCGTTGGCGCGATCCCTCACATAGTCGCGCTTGAAATCCATCTGCAGCAAATCAGTCAAGCCATTGCCGATGTTTTTGGGATGATGATGATGATGCGTCTTGGGTAGGTCCTTTCGTGACTTCCGAGACTGACGACTCCGCGTGGAGTTGCGGGAATGACGATTGCCATTCGATTCGTTTGATTTTTGCATGTTCTTGAGGAAATTCTCCAGAGCCACCTGCTTGCTGTTCGGCAGCTCCTCAATCTTTGGCCCAGTCCTAACATCATCATCATCGTCGTCCTCGCTAACCTCCTGCTTGACCACCACGTTCAGATCTTGGATTTTCATTGAGGCTCGTGAGTTCTCCTCCTCGGATGATGTGGTCATGTCCTGATTCTGCAGGAATGGAAATATAAATTCGCCATTCTTTTGCAGAAACTCATTAAGAATCGAGGGATCCAGTCCGGCATTGGCCGTGCGACGTTTCATAGAGCTGTAGTTGTGCTGCTTCTTGGTGCTGTGGGCAAAGACGCCCACTTTGTGACTAGCATTTGGATACGTTGTCTTCTTCAGGGCAATCACCTGAGACTCAACGGAAGTGCTGCTCTCCCTTCTGCCGCCTGCAGTGCTATACTTGCTGCTTCTGCCCGTGGCCGCGGCAATGTAGTCTCTCCGTCGCTGAGTTCTCTTGTTGCTCGAGGAGGTACCATGTTTGCCCCGGCTCCGCGATGCCACTTTGGTCTTCATTTCGGCAATCTTCACAGAGACCTGAGAGTCCACCGAATTGCGTCGAGATTCGACCGAGACGTGCCGCACACTCACACTTATCTCCGAGTCCAGGGAGTTCTTGCGCGGTCCCTGACTGGAGGAGTTTGCTGTACCTGTGGCAGCTCCCGTGAGGGCCATGCGACGCTTAACGCACTGTGGCAGATAGTGCACCCAAGTGGAGCTAATCTCATTCGTCTCCGAGGAATTCAGATCGTTTACGTCAAAGTTGAGGCCCACAGGGTCGGTGTGGGTGTTGTAGAGCGTTATGGAGAGCCTGCCCTTGTCTTCAAAGTCCTTGCGCTTGGCCCAGGTCTGGGCAATGACCTTGTGCTTGGGCATTTTGACCTCCTCGACCACCTCCTTGCCGCACTTTCTGTACAGAAATTACGAAATCATTAAATTAACATTTAAAAAAGGAAAATGTAAACTAACTTTCTTATATAACGTTTCCAGGTCTCAATGGAAGATGGTGTCCAGCACCAGGTGGACATGACAATCCCTGAACTGAAGAGGCACAGCAAATGCAGCTGAAGGACACCCACGCTGGGACGATTCTCTATGCGACAAGAGCTCTTCTCCTCGAAAACGGAAGATATTTTGCAACTAAAAGAAAGGTAAACAATTGAAACAGATTAATATAATGATTAAAAGATATATAACTGCTCAAAATGCTCACATTATAAACTCCCTGAAGCTTTCAGCCCACTCCTCGGCATGTCGGAACTCCGTCACATGACAGGCAATGGCCACGAGAATGAAGACCAAGGTGAGCAGCGCACAGACGCCCATGCGCATGATGATCAAATGGATTTTATTGCTAGCCGATGTGGATTTAATGTCATTGGCAAAGTGCTTCAGGCCAAAGAGCATCACCATGCCGCGCGTTATGAAGTAGCCGCCTATGAGAATGACACCGCAGAGCGGTCCCAGCAGCAGGCCAGCCCGCATCGGATGATTAATGTAGCCCACAAAGCAGATCCCAACAATACTATTGCCATCCACCTCGCTAAAGGCCATTGTGGTGATGGTCAGCACCAGAGGCAGCGACCAAGCAACCAAATGAAAGTACGAGCCCTTCTTGTCGATGCGATCTTGGACATGGCCCATGGCGCGCCAGTGCCAGGCATATGTGAGGAACACAAACCAGACCATGCCGGCCGTAAGGAAGTAGTATACCAGGACAAAGATCACAATGCAGGAGAGATTCTCACCGGCGGTGGGCTCTGAATGGCGAAGAGTGCCATCCTTGCGACAGACAATGTCCTCACGGGATCCTGAAGTGAATTGCAAGAGCCAGCTGAAGAGAGAGAGAGAGAACCAGAGCATAAATGAGACTCCTGTGGGACGGAAGGATCTGTAACCCAAAGTGGACTCACCCAATGCAGGCAATCAGGAAGCATAGATTTATGTAGAACACAATCACAGCCGGATACTTGTTGGCATTCTGCCAGTCGATGAAAAAGGTGGCCACCACAAATAGATTGGAGACCAGGCACAGCGTGCCCGCCCATCCAATCAGCTTGTGGATCTGTCGATGCTCATCGTCCGTGTACAAGGGATCTTTGCAGCGCACACCGCATCCCTCGATGCCCGGATAATAGCTGGCCGCTGACTCGGCCGGTACCAGCGGACTCAGGCACTGGCCGGTTACATTGAATTTCATGCCGCGCGCACCGTTTGTGCATTTCGTTGGAAATAGCGTTTCGTTGCAGCGCAGGAATTTCGGGAAAAATGTTGTGTTGTATAAAATGCGACAGGGTTCCAGCGTAATCCGACACATTTCATACGAAGGCAGGTAGACCATGTCCTGGCCGTTGATTTTCTCGCATTTCGGCTTGAAAACAGCGCACAGAAATGGCTATAAATGGGAGTGGGAGTGGTAGAGGAAGTGTAAGCTAATAGATTCAACTATTTCTTTACTCTTCTGTAGATTGACGTACCTGAATAACCGCCCAACATTTTGGTACATGCCGCAGAGCGTAGTAATCGTTAAGCTTCTCGTTGAGCTCTTTTTCGGTATGAAAATCAGTTAAATCGAGGCTACTCAATTCATAGGGCAATTTGGAGCCAAAGCAGGTATTTGAGTGATTTGTGGTGGCATAGCAGCGACCCCGTCGCACACACTGAATGTGGCGACTGTCCAGTCCATCGAACCAGGGCTTATCATCTTTGCCTTTCTTCCCGTACAGACGGTAATTGGGAGTGCCATTGATGGGCTCCAGTTCCACATCCACTTGCTTGACACTCGCCGGCGTTGTGCTGCTATACTTAGACAGGCTGGCGGTCGTCGATCGTACGCAGTTTGACGCCACCCACAGGCAGATTATCGCTAGTTCCCAGAAATGCCTGGTGTGTTGGGGGGAGGGAGGGGAAACAATAAAATGGTTTGATATAAGCCATTTGGTTGCGTTATTTACTTACATTTGCATAATGCCTTCCGTGTGCCGTGTGTTCGAGAATAATATTCGCTAATAATACATCCAATTGCAGCCTTTTGTGAATATTAATGGGACCCAAGTGCGGCAGCCGCTCCTCGTTTGGGAGCTACTTGGAGGATCGCTTGGAGGAGCACTTCAAAGCATGGTGCCCATGTATTCGTTGAGTTCTGGCTTTATTTTTATTCAAAAAACAAATGGAACCAAGGAGAAAAACAAAAATAAACGCGACTCCGCGGCCGAAACTTGGGATTGATACCAATATATCGATAGATATTTTTTCTTGGTAATATATATTGAAGGTTTTTTTTTAATATTATTGTTAATATGGATATTATGGATAAAACTGGAAACTATTTTTCTGTTGTTTCACGCTCACGAGTTTCTGGGCGGCAAGGCCGTTCTTTCAAATACGCCCGCCCTTAAAGGTTGCTGGTGCTTACAAATGTGCTGCTCGGCTACATGTGGCTGGAAAATGTATGTTGCTGAGAAAAACAACAGGTAAAATGGCCCAGGAAATCCACCCTGTAAAGACTTACAAGGCTTGTAAACAAACCCTCCCTGTACAGTACAATTGAAAGAACACGGTGAGGTGAGGTGGGCGCCGATAAAATTAGAGGTGAGCTGGAGCGTTCTGTTTCATTGCCCAGCACTGATGCGCTATCGAATTTTGTTTTGTATACGCCAGTTCGAAGAACCAGTTCAGTGGCTCAAACTGTAGTGCATTTGATGATTTGTTTAATGATTTGAATACGACCATAAACTCAGGCAAAATGTTACTCAACTCAAGTGCAAATATTAGTATTTAGAAGATCAGTCAAGATTGTACTGCCAGTTAAGCGAACCGTGGCACTGAATCAAGAACGCAAACGTAAACTGTAGTTCGGGTCCATTGAACTAGTTCAGCGTTGAACTGCAGCACACAAACATCAATGTATTTTTTACATCCCTACACTGCTTCATTTTTATTTCACGGTGCAACAAAATACAGAGGAGAAAGAAAGGGGGCTTCCGAATTGAATTATCCAAAATAAAAGCCATGGACGCAGCTACAGTAGGGTCCCAACACACTGCGAACGATATGAAGCCACAAGCACCAAGCCAGCCGCCGGCCCCGGCGGTCGCAAAGGCAACAAACGAAAATGGTGTACAAACAGGAGGAGCAAAAAAATCAGAAACTAAAACTGGCTCTGGTGCGTACCCACAGCTCGCTCGGTGTCCGAAGATGCTTAATCGCTAATGGATGTGTCCACAATAGCTAATTTCATGTTTACTTTCAATGCAGAATCAACACATTCCAATATGGTGGCTGAAAAAGTGGAAAAGGTGGAGAAATCAAAGGCCGAGGTGTCCACTGAGAAAGTATTGATTACCATATGCAGTGCCGATCGGAAGACCAAGAAGACGTTCATGTCCATGCCCACGAGGAAGGATGTGATAGATAAGGGTAAGTAATAAACAGTTCTTAAATTTATATTAAATTAATTAAATAATTAACGTGCATTTATTAGCCCACAAGTATGGCCTAGCCGGCAACACCATTGTCCTGGAGAGCAATGGCTGCGAGATCTGCGAGGATGAGGTCCTCTTGTTTGCAGCCAAGGAGAAGATTCTGCTAATGCTGCTGGCCGAAACGGACGAATATGTAATTCTGCCTCCGCCCTCGCCACTGAGCCGATCGGAGCGTGCTGGCAGCTCGGTGGATCCCAGTTTCTATGCCCACAACAGTATTGTATCGAATGCCAATGACTCGACCGTCTCCAATGACGAGACTCTGTCCCTGGCCAGCGTTACGCCCAGCAATTCAAAGACGTCGGGGCTGTTTAAAGAATTTTCGATACCTTGGAACAAGGTACCCAATGATATAATGAAATTGCTGCGAGGAAAGCACAGCCTGGGCAAGCGCCTGAATACGTTTGGCAATATCCTTGTGGATGCATTGCGGGAGTGCTCTGTTCATATACCCATACGGGTGTTCCGACAAGTGGCCCAGCAGGCGGCCGAAAAGTACCCAGATTCGTTGCTGGAAAAGGATCGCGAAGGTCAACTGATAGCCACCACGCCCCAGTCTCTCATCTCGAAAATGATAAACCGCAACAATGCCCTGAACAGGCCGCAGAAGCGAACCAGCGGCTCGAGCAACTCGGGAAACTTTGAGATACACATCAGCAGCAAGAAGCGCAAGTCCAGTGTGGGCGCTACCTCAGCGGCCAATGGCGATGCCAAGGCCAAGGACCTGGCAGCCAATCGGGATCTGGAGGAGAAGAAAGAGCTGCTCATCTCAAGCTACCGCGGCAGCACCACTGTCGAGCCAGCCACCATTACCGAGTATATGAAGGAATGCTTCCCGCTGCAGCGCGCGTTCTTTAACAACAACGAAAAGATTCCCGACATTACGTCCATTAAAAATAATTGGCCGTATATCTTTAACAAAGAACTGCTGTACCAGCACTTTGAGCTGCTCATGTCAATCGATCCCCGTGTGCTGGAGAAACGTTTGACTGGCGAAAAGGAGCGCATATTCAGGTTCTTTAAGACATCAAAGAACAAGAAGATCAGTGCCCTGGAGGAGAGCAATGCCAATTTGTTGCGCGGCCTGGCCTACCATTTCAATGAGGATCCCGATTACATATTCAAGCAGCTGGACAAAGGTCCCTATCCCAAAGATGTGCTGCAGCAAATGAATCCCACAAATGCCCCATGGGTGGCTCTAGTCAGTGAGTAGCCATTCAGCCATTAACCGATCATTAAATCAAACGACTAAATCGACTAACTCTATTTTAGATTCGCCTATCACAACAGACAATGGTGTGGAATTGCAGAGTGAGGCCATGGTCTATATTGAGGGCCAAATAATGGCCCAATTTAGCGCCAATGATGGCGATCTGCCCGACATAATTGCCCAATTGATCTGCTACTATTATACCTTCAACATGATGTACCCCAAGGAAGCCAATCAAACACTCGAATTTATGGTCATCTACTTTCTGCAGCATGTCCCCGAGCAGGCGCGCAACTCCAAAAAGGCAGTCACAGCCAACAGCAAATTCAACCAGCTAATTGCCAAGCTGGCCAATGCAAATGGCTGAAAATCCATAAGCCTCAAATCAATCAAGCATCAATCTCCTCCACTTCCTCGCTCTATGGAAACCGCCTCTTTGGAGTATGGAGTACATGGAGTCTCATTCTGTTTAGTTTATTTATTATTTTTGCAGACCTATTCCACTTGTATTTGTACCACTATGTCTAAGATTTACATAAATCGTGTAGTAATGTTGTGTATACATTTCTGATTTTGTTCCCTTACCCACCCCAACGACTAATATTCAATGCTCTTCTTCTGGAACGGGTTGTTCTTCCTGGCATCCGTCCACTCTTTCTTTGGCTTTGTCACCATTCCTTTCTTTTGCTTTGATCCCTTCACATTATGTCCCGCTCCTCTCGCCTGCTGTGGTGGTGCCTTCACACCATATCTGCTTAGATCTTGAATGGCCCAATTTAAGTTGGGTTTCCGATTGGCCATGGAAACGCCGAGCGTCACTTTTCTTCGATAGAAATCGCGTTCCTTAAACGTAAAGTTTTCGGCGTTGGTTGGCAGCTCCCCCTTGGACACATCGCACTCTGCAAATGTCGACCTCCCGGGCTCTCCCTTATTCTTCCCCTGCTTTCCTTTGGATGGAGTGGGCTCATCTTCAAAGGATTCCCACGTGGTTATCTCATTACGCTTCGCTTCGATTATGTTTCGCCGGTGGTTCTGCTCCCGTTGCTTTCGGAACTCCTTCGCTTTCTCACTGTCCGCATCGAGGCGCCCAGCGTTGCCCGCCTCCGCAGCATCTTCTATAAGATCATTCTTCACGTGTTGCCATGGCTGGGCTGCCTCTTCGGGATCAGGAATGGGTGCCGGTGCCCTGTTGCGTGAAAATGGAGCGGGCTTGAACTTCTGTTTGCCCCAGGATTTGGTGCGATTCTGTAGCATCTCTTTATGGCCAGGTTTCCCCATTATTGGGCGTTGGGTTGGTTGCGTTGGGTTCGTATTTTGAACGTGTTTATTCCACAAAACAATGGTAGGGATGGACGAAGCTGTACTCGGAATTTCGATAGCAAAGTGTATCGATAGTTGGCTAGCATCGACCATCTCCAAGCAGCACAACACGTGCGCCGGCGGTGGTAAACGAATATTTCTTGAATTCGGCACTTTTATAGGATGCAAAACGGCCAAGTTCAGGACAAATACCATTTCTACTCCGGAGGCCCACAGAACCAAGAGATGCGCAGCCGTGGTGGCCGTGGTGGCCGTGGCGGCCGTGGCGGCCGTGGCGGTGCCAATAATCCAAATTTCAACAGGCAGAACGGCGGCCCCTCTGATGGACAATCAAACGGACACCACAACAATGTGAATCAAGAACGTAGACGGGGTGGTGGCGGCGGTGGTGGTGGCGGTGGTGGTGGCGGTGGTGGTGGCGGTGGTGGTGGCGGTGGTGGTGGTGGTGGCAACCAGTCGGAGTCGTTTTCCAAATTCCGAGATCATCAGCACCAAGGCCAAGACAATGGATTACGTAGAGGCGGCGGCGGTGGAGGTGGCGACGGCTGGCGTGGTAGTCGTAGATCTCGCAGGTCTCGTGGTCCAAGAGATGACAATCGCAGAGATCCGCAACAAAGAGGTGGTCGTAACGATAATTGGGGTGCCCCAATGGAGCCCACTCCCAACACTGTGTTTAACTACGAGCCTATGGGAATAGCACAACAACCCGAAGCACAGCCACCAGTGTTAGGCGGCTTAGAAGTACCACAACTACCTGACGCTTCCATGAATTATATTCCGTTAGTTTTAGAAGCACCTGTAGAACAGAAGCAGCCTGCCATTGAAGTAAAACCCACGGAGCCACCTGTCAACTTCAAAATCAAGAAGGAAAAGAAAGACACGCACTCGCCAGTTGTAAAACCCGCACCGCAGCCGCAGCCGCAGCCGCAGCCTGCCAAAAAGCCAAAAGAGAGTAGCGACGAGAGCTCTTCGAGCAGTTCTGATGAAAGCGTTGAAGCTGGTGAAGTGGTCAAAGCTCCAGCTGTGAAAACGAAGACGGAGGCCACAGCTGCAAAGGCTCCAGTGTCGTCTTCGTCATCCTCATCTTCCGAGGATTCTGACTCTGACAGTGAGGATAGTAAGCCGGCAGCTAAAAGCAAAACTGCAGCTAAAGGGAAGGAATCGAGTGGCAAGACTTCCAAGAAACTAAAGAAAACTCTATCCGAAGAGGATGTCGTCTGCCTTGGCTCTCAGAAGCGACACTACACCATACCCGATGAGGATGAGGAGAGCAGCGAGGTGGACGAAGAAAAGGACGAGGATGAGCAACCCAAGGCCAACAAAAGTAAAAGCAAGCAAAAAGCCGACAATGGCTGTGCAATTTGCGACAAGAAGGCAAGTACTTTTGGTATACTTAAGGGGAAAATTCTAATTTTGTTTGCATGTTCATTTGAAACAGGGCCACACCTCCTTCGAGTGCCAGATGATCTGCCGTAATTGCTCGGCTCAGTATCATAGCCTCAAGAACTGTCCAAAGCCACCGAATCTGAACATTGCTCTGCAGGCATATTTGGAGTACACCATGCAGCAGGTGGCCGTATTTAATGTGGAGCAACGTTTTGCCTTTCCCGCTGGTGCGGTGCCAGCAATGTCATCCGCCCCGGCTTCCTCTACGCCTGCCAAGTCGAAGAAGGAGAAAAAGGCTCCCAAGAAGCCCAAGAAAACGCCACAAAAGAGAATGAAACTGGAGACTGCCGCCGACGACGACGATGATGATGATGACGAAGACGACGACGATGAGGAGGAGGCAAGCAGCGATAGCGAAGATTCCGAACCATCTAGCGATGAGCCAGCACCCGTGGCTAAGCAAAAGCGAAAGCGGAATTCAAAGCAGACAAATCCTGCCGCAAATCTACCACCGCAAGCGTTTCCATTTCCCCTGTTGGCTGCCGGCTCACCTTACAACTCCATGATGTATCCATATGCGGCGCCCTTTAGCTTTCCTAAACAACAATAAGAGTTACAATAGTACATAACATATGTTGGAAGTAGTTTTTAAAATATGTTGTATAAATGAATTTGGGGGAACCACCGTGCTTTAAACATGTAAAAAAAACAAGCAATGATGCATTTATATATCAAAAAATCAGTGCATTCCTGTTCTAAAAGTCTCCATAACATTCCTGTGGGATTAAGTTCAATAATATCTTTTACAGCTGGGAACTGGGTCATTTATCTTTTTATCACATTTCCCAAGGTTCCATCTGGTTCTGATTTCGCCTCCTTTTGCTCTAAGGTTAAGGCTCTCCTTTTCTCTGTCTTTGAATCGGTAGAAACAATGAGCCCCATTCCATACACAGTTGCGGGAACATTCAAATGCCAGTCAGCTGATTTTCGTTTGTGGGCCACAGAGTGACCGTTTCTGGTATTTTTAATTGTTTTCGGTATTTTATGAGGTCAAAATTGAACCAATAAAAGCAACTGTTTAAATTAAGCCAGTAAAGTAGAAAATTGATTCATAAATCGCATAAAATTATGATGGCATGGCTAAATGTTCTATATAGCTAGTAATATTCTACGGAAGATCAAAATCGAGGAATATAGAACTTGAATTTGTCAGTATATTTACGGTATATTTTTAGCATGAGACGGTATATATCTGAGGGTCGGGCGGTATATTTTATCGACACCTGTGCCAGCTGTTGCATGCCATGTTTTCTAAAATTTAGTTTTTATTTTGTTTAGTGCACAACTTATATTAGATTAGACAGTTAGATCGGTGAGATAAGGTGAGTGTTTCATATAATATATCACATAAAATTTAAACAAGACATACCGAATTGACCAATACATAAGAATATGGTGTACTGTACCCTTCGTCTCTGCCGTTTCACGCGGTAAGCGGTTCGTGTAGTAAGTCTTTCAATATCAACAAAACAGACAATTTATGAAGATTAGTTTTACCAAAAACATAGAACTATGGCGGTGGCACTATGGAGGTGCACTTCTACGTCGTGCAAAGGGCGAATTGCTCACGCTCCCGCTCTGTGCCGCAGCCGCAAGGATGGTTGAGGCCACGGGGATCTAGGCCTGGCTTGAGCATGGTCTGCTGCAGATCCCAGATGACCTCACTGGCCATGACGCTAACGGCCAGCTTGATTATCGACAGGTAGTTGAGTGGATTGGCGGCATGGCTGAGAATGCCGCGGGCTATTTGTTCGTACAGATAGTCGCGATCCAGCTCGAGCAACTCCTCCCTTACATCCATCGTTCGGTTCTCAAAGTGACACTGAATGGCCGCAAAGACCGTCTTGTCCAGGCCGACCAGCAGCTCGCGCTTAAACTTCACCAGATAGTGTTCGATGAAGACAATCTCGTTGCGATTCATGTGCGGCAAACGGACCTTGTCCTGGATCATCTGCTCGCCAATCTGGCTGACCACCAGCGAGGCCAGGGATCCAGCCGGCGTGGGCCGACGCTCCGAACAAGGACGTACATCCACGAACGGATGAATCTCGTAGCTGCCCACGCCAATGGTGCTGGCCACACCGCAGAAGGAAACGTGCGATGCACGGGGATTCCTTTGCGGAGTGCCGGACTTTGCCGCCGCTGACCCAAAGTCTATGGCATTGTGATGATCCCTGGCAAAGTTAATGATTTGCAAAGCTTTCTGTAAGGAAGGAGATTTCATATCATGGTCTGTCAAGCTCTGCCTGGAGAATCCTTAAAAACTTACATAGTTCACATATTTCTTGGCATCGCAGAGGAATTCGCGAATGCGTGAAACTAATACTTTTAGCGCGCACTCATCGTCGCTGAGATCTTCAATGAAGCCCTTCAGTATATGGTTGAGTATGTACTGGGCCGCCTTGTAGATGGGATCGTCTGGGGCAAAGGTCAGCGGCGAATGACCCTCCATGGCAATGGCCGCATTGAGGGCATAGCAGAGTTCGCTGTCCAACAGACCATCAAAGGTTGTCTGGTACTCCTCACAGAACGATGGCTTCTCGCGCTTGGGCTTCTTGCGCTTGCGGCGCTTTGGCTGACGCTTCAGCATCGTCTGGCGGGTGCGCTCCCTGATCTGATCCTGGATATGCTTCCATTTCAACTCGTATTTGGCCTTGTGCCGCTCAATGAACATCCCACGTTCTAACTCAACTTCCATGAGCAGAAAGTGGAGGCGTTGCTGATTGGCAATACGCTCGTCCAGACGCTTCTGCCAAGACTGTATCTGTCCCTCGTTGTTCTTCATCATTCGCTGCTTCTGCAGCAGACGCATGTTCTTGTTAAAGCGATCCTTCTTGAATTGGAACAGTTTCTTCTGCCTGATGAGGTACTTCCTCTGCAGATCGTGGCATAGGCTGATGTGAGCCTGCACCCTCATATTTGTCAGCAACTTGCGATGCTCCAATAGCATTGTCTGCATAGAGGTCAGGTTCTCCAATCGTTTCATCTTCTCCATCGTAAGGTTGGACAGATGCACCATGCGCTCGTGCTTCTCCATGTCCAGGCGCATCTTCCTGGCCACAACCTCCTCGTAGCACTGATGACGGCCCGCCAGATTGAGGTGATCGCGCTTGGTGATCGCCTCGGCATTTGCTATCAGCAGGCGATCATGTTGCTCTGCCTCGCGACGCTTGTAGGCTTGCAGAACATAGTACAGCTGGGACTTGTGCAGCTCCTGGCGATGATGGTTGAAGTCCTTCAGATTGCAAATCACATCATTCGTTTGGGTGATCTCGCCGTTCTCTCTCAAACGCTTCAGATTACGTTCGTTGGAGTAGAAGGTCCTCAGATTCGCATCATGCAATGGATTGTATTCAGGAATAGCCGCCCCAGTCACCGATGCATCAAACTCCTGTTTGGCGCTTTTGAACTGTCAAATAAACGGGAAAATTAAATAAATATGAAGGGAAGGGTAAAAAAGTAGTTTAATCTAGGACTGTTTCCCTTGTGCAATAGAGGACTATCCCTCAAGCAGGAATCCCTGGCAATGCTGTTGATTCGTTGCACAAATCTTCCACTCACCGATTGCCCAATTTTGTTTTTGGAAAATATCACTTGATTACCGGGACACTTAAGCATCGGTAGCTTAGAGTTGAGAGGAATTAGCTCCCATCCCGGCAGACTGTTAATCGGAAGACCAGTCTTATTGCTGATCATCTTGAGAAGTGCCGCATTGCCCGACACATTGTTGCGGCGCGGCATAGACAGTATATCGATCATGATGCCGCGCGTTTTGGTTCCGTTCCCGCGTTTTTCCTCAATACTATTTTTCTGCTAGTAACATTTATTTTATATGTGTTTTGTGTGTACGAAGGATACTTATTTTCGAATGGAGTTTTAAAATTACTGTACTGAAATTTTGAAACTTTGAAATTTAAAAGAATTGCCTACTATCGTTTTGGGGGATTTAAAGTTTGTAACGTATTGATATACAAAATCCATGATCAAGTGTGTGTCGCACACACCTGAACATACCACAAACGACTGGAATTTAGTCTTGCCGAAGAATGGGAGCGGTTGAACCAAGCAATGGCGTTCAAGGGTATCCCCAGATTCCCCACATCCAAAAGCTAGCCTTCTTTTCTTGATGTTTGCTACTGTTGTTGTTCCTGTTGTTGTTGTTGTTGTTCCTGTGCCTCGTGGTGTTCTTTGCTTGTTTGCCTTTTATTTTACTGTTCAATGGAAGTGGTTAGGGTCGGGGTCGGGTCTCCTGCTTATCAAAGCTTTTCTTGTTACAGCTACCTTTGTCGATACAGAGAGAGGCAGAGCGGCAGAGAGAGCTTGACGAGAGCGACAGTGCAGTGTGGGGAGTTCGTCTTTGTCCTGTTTGTTTATCGTTGCCAAGAGGCAATAACTGTGAACCGGAAACTATAGAAAATTCAATTTATTCACAAACAAAATTCCATTCAATTTTGTTCATAAATTGTGTGCTACTGAACCGGATTCAATGTTAAATATGGCTGAGGATATGGCAAATATTATATATTTCGTTTCCCATTAATTCCCTCGACTTATCATATGCAAAATCAACAAACTAAATCATTCCATTAATACACGCACCCCCACACATTATTGTATAATTTCTCTATTTGTTTTGGTAATTTGTATTTCGATTTTACGATGGCCGTAAAAATCCGAGACCCATTATTAGTTGCGCTCCAAAGAGCACAAAGACGCCAATACTTACACCATCTGTCTGTCTGCGGCTTATATAAATCCGTGATTCGGTTTCCGTCTCTGTCTCTCTGTTGGGGGTGACCTCGTTTCCTGCATTCTGGGCATCCCATCAGATTGTTTGGCATCCCAGGCATAAATATTTACCCAATCGGTCAGGCAAACAGGCGTCAGTATGTCTGCATTGCCATAAACAAAGTAAAATTAAATATAAGGTATGTCGATGCGGAAGAAAAGTCCTTTTTCAGGCAACCGGAACCTGTTCAATACCGCAGTTTCATGAGAGGACCTTCACATTCGCGTATGATAGGGGTCCCTCTAGTATGTTACATCCGTCTTTCAGTTTATAAAACAGCTGATATTCTTTCTATAACTTTTTGGAAAATTTTCGAACAATAAATTATCAAAACTGTAGACCCACTCGTGGCGAATAATATCTTTGGGTCATTCGTAGCGAATCTGTAGCGTTCTGTTCACTTATGCGAAATTTGTACTGCGAAAATCTTTCGTGTATAACCTTCCCTCCTCTTGAATATACCTTGAATAGTTCTTTAAACTTTTGTCTTCTTTTTGTTTCGCTTGCACTAACATACATATATTGCCTTTCTCTTTCGCTCATGTAAATAAAATCACACCAAGTGCTGAAAACATAGTACTTGCTTGCTCCAAGCACGTGCTCCAAATACGCTCTCGAGTGTGCTTTCCATTTCATCTAACACCCTGGCTCCTGGCCACTGACATTTCCCCCCACATGGCAAGCTCTCACGCGAACCGTCGATGCCATAAATAAAAAATGATGCTGCGGTGGCATCCCAAAAACAAAAAAAAACCCAGAAAAATCTAAAAGACATACCGAAAGGTGCGTGCCAATCTCTAGTGGGCCTGTCGGTGTCCCATTTACCGTTATATAATAGTGGCTTCCTGTAACGATAAGAGCTGCTAGAGATGAGAGCGTGAGCATGGGGCTTAACGAGCTAATGATTACAAGTATTCCGATTTGAGCAGGGTCTTTCGTCCCCAAGGTCAGGAAGTGCACCTGCCACCCACGCAGGATGATTGTCGATGAGATTATCGGGGTTATTGATATTTGAAACCTAAATGTATACAAATCGCCATTAATTGGCACTTCACAGTGCGTCTATCCTAGGAAGATTTAATGCCGTATAATCTTCTTTGAAAATTAAGCCCTTAGAAGAAGCCATCTCATAGCTTTGGGGCCTAAATGGTGATGAAAAGTTAGGTAGATGTCTGCTATTCTGTAACGATTTAAATAACATCAGAAAACATAACTTTAAAGAGATCACGCTCATATCTCTACGCACCATCCCCTCAAAACAGCCACAAAGCATCACCATTCCGAGCCACCCCCACACCAACACGCCCCACCCACCCAGTGAGCGCTGGGACAACTATTCCCCATCTCTTTCCTTGTAACTTTTTTAGCCGAAAACCGAATACGACTACCGGCAAAACTTCGGACAGCTGTAGCTGGGATAGCGTTTGCTGTTGCTCTCTTTGGCTTACGCTCCTCTGTTGGCTACTAACACCCAGGGTCTATTAATAAAAGGTGAGACAAGTATAGGTAGTCTCATGAAAGGTGCTACGAATTAATTACGAAATTTTAGAAAATCCCGGTCTAAAACGTTTCAAAATTCAAATTGCAGTGCTTTGAAAAAATTCTTGAATTGTTTCAGAACATTGAACGATTGTTGGAAACAATAACAGAGAACAGCTTTGGATAATTTCAAAAACGTTCATACATGAAAATCATGCGAATAAATCCTCTTCGAAAAAGAGATATCTCTGGTAATGCTCTACCTTTAAGTAATTTTCCCTGGGCTGCTACCCCCCCGTTTTAACAGAGAAGCCGCTTTCAATTGTGAAAGCTGGCGGCGAGAGAAGAGAGAGCGAGACTTTCGCTCAAGCTTTGGCGTTGCTGGCGCTCAATTGTCTCGCGTCCATTGCCGAAGTCGGTTCTTTGTAGCGGCTCCACTGCATCTCTGTAGACGTTCCGTTGAACGGTATAAACGGAAAGAACGCTGTTGTTGTGTGACGCGCGGCACCCGTTTTTGCGTGTGTGCGTGCGACAGTGTCCGTGGGTGTGTGTGTTTCTATATGTGCGCGCGCGATTGTGTGTGTGTGAGTGGGAGCCAAACAAATAGCAAAACGCAAAAGCGAAAAGGGCCGAAAGAAATCATAGAGCAGGAGTCCCGTACAAACGGGGGTGGCGACAAACCACTGCTCCCTGTGTAACCACCACCCCCCCCTCCCACAACTCACAACCCGCTAAATACGCTCACGTATGCACCGTTAAGGGCGCCATCCATTCACAATTTCCAATAACAAAAAAAATACAAAAACAACAGAGAGTCGGCAAAAAAAACAACAATAACCGTTTGGCGAAAACAACAACAAGTGAAGCATAATTTGAAGAAACATCAGAACAAAAGGGAAAACAAAACGGAGTCTGAGAAAGAGAGAGAAACAGCCGTCACTGAGTGGAAGAAAGATAGCAACAGCGGACGACAACAACGGACTCTGAGAGAAAGAGAAATAAAACAACGGACTCTGCTAGAAAGAGAGATAGGAACAACGAAGAGCAAACCAAAAAAAAAGGAGAATATTAAAAACAACAAAAGCAGATTTTGAACAACGGATTCTGCGGAAAAAAAGGATTCCATAAATTAACGGACACTGAAAAAAAACGACAAAATCTACAAAAAAAAGAACATTTTTTGGATCTGCACCAATCGTTGTGGGCGTGGCCAAGTGCATCCAACTGTAATGTTCCATTGCCGACGATCCCTATTCATCATCCATTCATCATTTTCATACTCATCATCATCAACGTGGGTGCCATCAACAAAATGTCCAAAGCGACGGGAAACATTGGACCGGCGCTAGGAGGTTCAATCGGTGGAGCAAACGGTGTTAGGACGGAGGATCACATAATAACCATCAGTACTGCCAGCCTCGCGGAAGCCAGCAACGGAGAAGCACTGAAGCAATCGTCTGCCAGAGATCCGCCCATACACTCAGTTGGGCCACAATCTGTGGAGGTGCCCCACCACCAGTCGCCCAAAGCAAACAGTGCCCAAACCCATACGAGCAATAGAGGGTACTCCCTGTGCCGATTGTCCCAGCTGGTGAGCTACCAGAATAACATTGCGGACGTGCAGCATCGACGTGGTAGACGCCTCCATGGACTGCAGTTGCCATTGCATCCGTTGCAACTGTTTGGATGGTTGGTCCTGCTGCTCTTCGGTTTGGCCAGCTATTGGGTGTTGATCCCAGCATTTCATGCACCGCTACAGGGTCCGCTATATGGGCTCATCACTGGGCTGTATCTCGTGCACATTGCCTCACATTTGACGGCCCTGCTGACGGATCCGGCGGACAAGGAGCTGCGGCGAGTGCATCGCAACGATCGCATTGTCCCGGAGTTTGATCGCACCAAGCACGGACACGTGATTGAGAACGGACGGTGTCATTTGTGCAACATACGCACCTCCTCGAGCCGCACCAAGCACTGTTCGGTGTGCAACAAGTGTGTGGGAAAGTTCGACCATCACTGCAAGTGGTTGAATCATTGCATCGGATCGAGGAACTATGTGGCCTTCCTGATGTGCGTCGTCAGTGCGGTGGTGGCCACACTGGTGATTGTGGCCGCGGTGATTGCCCAAATCGCCTTCTACTACATCCAACCGGAGTGGCTGAGCTTCTACTGGTGTCGTTCCACCAGCGATCCGGATGCCGGACACCAAATGGAGCCCGGGGACTACATAAATCTCACTCTAAGCCTTGGTAATGGGACCATGATGCTGCTGGAGCAGCCACCCGACGACGAAGAACCCCAACAGATGGATGAGCAAATGGAGAACATAACCATTTCCACCATTTCCACCTTGCCCACACTCTTGGAGAATTTCACGGCTTTGATTGAGGCATCTGCCACATCCCAGCCAGGCATCAATATGACCACGAATCAGACCATCACACCCGTAGTGGGGGGAATAGGCGTGAATGAAACTATATTCCTGCTGCTCCTGGGAGTCCTGGGACTCTTGGCAGCCGTGAGTGCAGGATTACTTCTCCACCTGTGCTTTTTCCACATCTACATCTCGTTTTTGGGGCTCACGACCTACGAGTACATAAGGAATCATCGTCAGGCGCAGGAAGCCAAAGCCAAACAGCTGCTGGAGCAGGGTACAGCCGTGGGAGTGGGCAAAAATGGAACAGTTCACTTCTCAGCAACCCTCCCAGAGCCCCACAATCCGTCCAAAACGATGCCAGGTGGTCAGCAGCTCTACTGTTTCTCCAAGGCGCCACATCCCAACCAGCAGCAGCAACAGGAGGCGGCTCTCTGCGCGGGACAAACGGAGCAATCGATGCGGATGCATTGCTGTGCCAGCTCCAGGGAGTTCCATCAGTCACGGCAGGCCATCTACCTGTGCTCCCTGCTGGAGGAGCGGACCAGCGCCACCAGTCACCATCCTCCTCTGCAGGACTCTCTGAGCAGCTTCCATTGTTGCTCCAGTTTTGCGGCCAGCTCCCTGCAGCGTCGCGTGAGTGTGGCCAAGGGCTCACTGATCTCTGGAGAGCTACGACCCCAGCGTCCAGCCACGTATCTGCAGTACACGGAACAGTGCACACTCTGCACCTTTCGCCTGCGACGCGAAGGAGCAGCAGCAGGCGCACCCAGCAGTGCGGGGGGAAGCAGCAGCACGAGGACTCTGTCCAGTCAAGCGGGTTTTTCCTCCGCATCGGCTAATGGGGCGGCAGGGAACATCTCCAAGCATCAGCGCTGGCGCAGGAAATGGAACTGCTGTGCCAGTGTCCCGGACAGTCCCGATGTACCCAATGATCTCCTGGCGGCTCTGACCTTCAGAGAGCGCGAGAATGCGGAAGCGGCGGCCAAGCTGAATGCCCAAGAGCTGCCAATACAATTTATACGAACTCTGAATGGGGGCATGGATCATCCGGAGGTGGAACTGCCTGTGAAGACAACGACAACGACGCCGCCGCGCAGCTCTCGATTGCGGCACATGCTGCGCCTCCTGGGACGCTATAGAAGGCCCCGATGTCGCCATCATGGAGGAGGAGCCCACGGCGTGGCGGCCAAGGAGCATCATCAGCATCATGGCGGGGGCACCATCAAACAGAATCAGATACGTCCGTTGCAACTGCAGGCGGCAGGACGTGGCTACGTCGCCTCCACGACGCCAACAACAACGCCACCCGGCAGTTCGCCGAGTCGGAGCTCCGCAGAGAGCAGCAGCGAATCGGTGAGCACCAGCAGTCCCTCAAGTGGCTCCAAGAAGGAGCTGATGCTGTTGCCGACATCCGTGATCCGAGATGATAGTGTGACAACCTATACACTCACCCTGCCACCGGCATTGCCGCCACCCACGCGACGCAAGATGCCGCAGGCCAGTCAGGAGTTGGCAGAACTTGCCGAGTCCCTGGGATTTGTCAGCAGTAATCATCATCATCCGCCGCCGCAACAGCAGCAGCAGCAACACTTGACACCCAACAGTCGACAGATGCCCCATAGCCTGGGGAACGTCTATCGAAGGCAACGGAGGAAGCATTTCATGCGCACTCGATCGCCCACACTGTCGCCCATCCATGAATCCGGCCTCTCCAATCCGACATCGCCGATACCGCTGCGGCACCACCCACACAGCAGTCTAGCACTCAGCTCTAATTCCAATCCGGCCAAATGTTCGTCCCCACTCGCCAACCGTTCGTCGATGTCCTCATCCTCGGTGCTCGTCCAGAACCTATGCAGCCTGGCAGGCGAGACCCTCAGGAAGACATCGTCCAATAGTTCGCTCCAAAGCATCAGCTCCAACTCTAGCAGCACTTAAATGAGATGCAAGGGGCACCCAAATGACAAAGGAGTGTGCTGTGGTGTTAAACAGTTCCTCGAATGGTTTCTGTTAAGTCCTTTAGATGATAGTCATAGTCATAGTCATAGCCATAGTCGACGTCCCCTTGGCTTTCGGTGGATCCAGGAAATCAATTAATCTGCAAATAAGTATCCAAAGTCATAACCAATTGAAATCAATTAAGGCCTCCCCCACCGGCGGAGTGGCAGGAAATTGCCAGTGGATGCGATGTGGTTTCATGGCCCGAAACTTAATTACCTTTTTTGCATAGGATGTTGCGGCTCTTGGCATATTCTTTGTTTGAGTTTATTGAATGCATATCTAAATTATTAGAAGTCCTGGCCCGGCCCCTCGAGCGCTAATCGAAAATAATTTTAGTTTGTGGGTCCTTTCTCGGTCTCGGCCTCAAGGAAGCTATGGAAACGTGGTTTACTCTTGAATGGAATTTCACCTTGGAATTTTACGTTGGGCTGTATTTTGGCTTGAATTTCTTTGTTTTATTCTCCACTAAGGATGGTTATTCCTTATTGAAGTTAGGACGTTCCTAACCTCCTTTGGACAATCCTGTGTCCGTGTTGCCTAAAATCAAAGGTTGTTTTCCCTTGGATTTCCGTTTGAGCAGTGCTGCCACATCGTTTGTCACTAACAGCATTATCCCCACTCTCTAGCACCTACTTACTACATGTCTATCCCTAACAATGTTCGCTTATCCTTTGTCTTCATTGAATGACTTTGCAGTTGAATTTATAAAATATGCAACAGCATGTGCTGCAAATGCAGCCAAGGGGTCGTGTCGTCTGTTGTGAGCAGGCAGGTCACAAGAGGGGAGCAGCCAGCAGCTCCCCACTGATATTGATTTTCATTTTCCACAAAATTTATAAGCAAAGGCGTTGGGGTGATTACGTATTGTACGGATGTACGTATACGAGTACGCGAGTATCTGTATCTGTATATCCACTCGTATATCCTGGCATCATCCGTACAACGGAGAGGCAAAACCATTCCACCATTCGGGGCATGCCTCGCCCCAAGGGAAGCAGACTGCTGATGCTGATGCTGCTGCATGTTGCCAAATTGTTACGCAAATGTTTTCATTCGATTTAAATTCAAATGCAGTGACAAAACTCGACAATAGACCCGAGAGATACAACAGATACGAGCACGAGTTCGAGTGCGAGGTAGAAGGTTGCCCCATGCCCTGTCCATCATGGCTCTAAACCTAATTTTGATGACTGACTCACAGACAGGGAGAGGGGGCGAGAGCGCCCCATTAAATATGCTGAAAAAACTGAATAATTAATGAAATACAAGTCGAAAAAAACAGATAGAAGTACAGCAAGGAAATGCGTCAAATGTGAGATTGAATCGCGGGGATTGAGCACTCCTGTTTCTATTCCTTCAGCTGTCATTCAGGGCAAAAGTTTAACGAATGGTTGGATAGATATCAGGGTTTGCTTTGACTAGTGCTTGCCATAACGAGGACGCACATCAGGAGGACTCCGTCTGGTCCTCCTATTTCCAGACAGTCCTCCGTGTCGGCTCTCATGTTATTGAAACTGACAGTCGAGGCAGAAAGCCAAATGGAAAGTCCATTTTTAACTGGCTAACACACACTGTGGGAGGTAAGTGTGTGTGTGTGTGGGATGTGATGTGGCACGAGTAATGGTGCGGCATGGTGTGATGTGATGTGAGACGGATGGATGGATGGATGGCTGGTTTGTTAGCGCGAGAATTGAGTACAGGAAATGGCTGCAGAGGAGGTGTTCGACGTTCAAGGTGTGGCCGGTGTGGCAGTTAGCTTCACTCAGAGTGTGATTAGTTTCTTTTCCCTTTCTCCTTCTTTCTGTCTGTTTAACAGTCATTCCAAATCAATTTTCTTATCCTTCATCATTCAGATTTTGAATTGTAAATAGTTTTTTTTTAATTGAGTGACTTTTAACTCTTTAAGTTTGTACTTTTGGAGGGCTATACACCACAAAAAGTACCATGGAATCATTATTAACTTCATAAATTTGAAGAACATTGAGAAATTGTTGTTAAGATCATTAACTTGCTCTACCATTCACTTCTTTTGGCACATGTGCCTCACATTTCATTTGCATTCAATTTACTTGATTACAATCCAATTCACATTAGCTCAATTCATTCATCTTTCAATTCCTAAACAATCTTTTGGTTAAATTCAATTTCTATGCTCTTAAAGTAAAACCAACTCAGAGCATATCTGCTGTAAACTTTTGTTCGAAAGAAAACTTCTATTGTGATTCTCCAAAAGTTTACCAAAAACTTTTTAACTTTAAAGAAAAAGGAAAGAGGATAAAGGAAATGCGCTTTTATTTTTGGTTTAGTTTGGGTTTTGCTCCTTACTCACATGGAAGTAATCCACAATCTTTGAATTTAAATAGACTATTCGAAAATTTTTTCGTTGTAAAATTGCATTCAAAGTGTTTTATTTATTGTAAAAAATTATAGTTACACAAAATGTTTAAGTTAAAATGTTTTATTCATTATGATTTTCTACAGACTCTAGACTATTAAAGTCGTTTCTTCACTACTCGTATTAAATCTTTCAATATTTCCGCATATATTTGTAAAAAAAACGTTTAGTCTTTAAGAACAGTTATACGTTCAAATTGTAGTACTAATATAGTCGTTCATCATTTAAAATGTATTTTGTTTTTGCACTCTCTTGCACTCTTTTACAGCCGTCTGCCTGCCGCCGGTACGAGTAGACGAAGAATAATTTGCGTAGCAATGTTCAGATACATTTTAAGTGTAAAAAGTCGAAAGGTTTTTGTCGAGGCTCGAGTCCCCTTTACCGAAGAGACATTTCTGCCAATCCTAAGTACAGTCATCACAAAGCGCTTTCCTCGAAAGTTTTCTGTCGAACCCTGTTTCCCTTAGAACTTTCCCCAAAACATTTGTCTGCTTTAAATAATTCAGTTCTTTATTTTTCCTTTATGAATTGTCGTCCCCACTCTTTTTTGAATTTCGGCCACACTGTTACTTCTGGCTAAATAATTAAACCGGTCAGACTGTCACATGCGAAATGAGGCCAACAAATAATTGGACACTTAATTAATTCATTATTAATGCGATGGTCTGAAAGCCCCAGAAAGAAAATCAAGTGGAATCCAAGTACAAATGTGGTTGACATATACAAAAGCTATTTTTGGATTGCAAATGAGATGGGGAGAAACCGAAACAAATTTATAGGGAAAGGCTAGAGGAAAAGAGCTTGAAAGACAGTGTCATTGAGCCTTCGTTTGACATGCACTTTTGCAGTGGTATTCAGACATGCAGAGAGACAGTCAGACAGACAGAGAGACGCCTGCTAAATGACTGAAAATAACATAATGCAACAACTATAAATGGATTTTCAATGCAGACTTCACTGCACTGACAGCTGGGGCAACATACATTTTCCTTCTTTGGGTTTTCCTCTGCATTTCCCCCCACTTTTCCCCGCCTTTTCTTCTGCTCATTTCCGTAGAACGACAAAAAACATGCTGCATACTTTTGAGGGAGCTGTTTCCTCTCTCTGATGTATGCTACATTTTCCATGTGTGTGCGTAAGAAGAGTGCTTGGTGGTGCTTGGTGTTTGTGTGTATGGAGTGTAGGGAAAATGTTTAATTTGATGGCACTTGGCATTAACATTTGGAGCTGCACCTGCCACCAGTAGACACACGCACATTCTTCCAGGGTTCATTATGTGTATCCGACAGTGAAAATAGTATCCTTATATGCGTGTGTATGCTGTAGATGGTTGAGGCTATGATGACTATTCTTTAATTTTGAGGTACATACATATGTTCATCCATTATACTCCTTCATTCATGCATTTATTTCCTATGTTGCTTATGCTGTATAGGCATTAAAACACATCTTTTAATAGGATATTTTACATTCTTGACAATACTTTTAATTTTCCTTTAAACTTTCCTTTTAAATGTGCACTTCCATGTAGAGTAAATGAATTTCACTTTGAAACAAACAAAACTACAAATGTATCTCCTGCCTGCTCTCACCTCTGCATTACTTTCCTCTGAGGAAAAAGTAACGAAAAGGCTTTTTTCTCGGATTTTCTTTTGGCTGTGCCTTTCTGTAGAGCGCTGCTCTTTCTGCCTTTAGCCATACGTCCGGCCCAACCGACAGCTGTCTGCCCTGTGGTCATCCAGCCACACTTCAGGAGACCCATAGCCATGGGAGAGCTGTCCATGCGAATGCTCTCTGAACTCTGAAGTCCTTGGAACTGAAAGAGTTACCTCCTGTATGGTTTTTCTTTTTCCTTCACGTTCAGTTGTCTGTAGAGTAATTTCAGCAAATTTTAAAGTAAAATATTTTCATGTACATATATTGGATATATTCCTGGTATCTGTATGTGTTATATGGCTATAAAAATATTCCACTTTAATTGCATGTTCGTGTCATGTACATGCAACGCCCCACCCCTCGAACAGAACCAGAACAGGGGTCCTGGGATCCAGGCAACGCCCTCGAGTTTTCATTTCGATTCTTTTCCGCCCGCCTGGATATTGTTTATGGAGACACAAGCTCCTGGGGATCTCCATTTGGGTGGGAGTATTCTGTTCCTTTTTGGGGCGTTTGTTGGCAACACAAAAATGCATTTGCCGATGTTGTCATGACCACTTGTTGTTGGGTCTCATGTTGGTTTTTTCCACTGGTAGTAGTTGTTATTTCTGTGCATCAATTAAAAAACATTTTCTCTCTTTGCTGCAATATGCCTTTGACATGCAACGGCGAAAATTCCACACAAAAAAGTGTATCATTTTCCAGGAGTTCGAAAAGTTTCCCTGTTTATAAGAAAGTTTTTCTACTCTTTCAATTATTTTTTAAACCATATATTTTCGACTGGATTTCTATACAAGTTTTAGCTTTAGGTTCGAATAGCATGCGTATACTTTATTTCTAGAAAGAAAGTTCTATTTCTAAGTACAAATTTCTGTAAAGTAGAACAGATTGAAAGGGTTCCAACATACATTTTGTAGGCTATGGCATCAAGCATCCCATAAAACCTTCAATTGCTGAAAATATAAACGTTTTCGGAGAATTTCGGAGAAGTAAAAACACTTAAGAGGCTTTAAATAAGAGGTTAAGTGGCTTTCGCACCATCATTATTCAGATTACTGGGAAAATTCTATAAATATAAAAAATGTATACAAATATTCCAGGAGCTGGAAAATGTTTTAAGCAGCTTGGAAAACAAACAAACAAACAAACAAACATGTTTTCTGGGAAACTTTCAGAAGGAATTAAGCGATAAGAAGGCATTTGAAGCGCTAAATTTATATTTATTTGTAAGAAATTCATGGCAATTTTCTCCTAGTGTATTCAAAAAGTTTGGCTAATTTCTCAGGTTTCCTTTTTGAGTGGGTGTGGTGTGTCGTCTGATATCTCCGCCTTCTATGCAAACGAATTATGATTGATTTGGCTGAAATTGGGTGCGATGTCTAGTCGGTTCAGACAGGTTTTGCTTGTACACGTACATGCCCACTGGCAGCGCCCACTGCCACTCCCACTCCGCCCACTGATTTCTTCGGTTGTTGTCATTAGCAATGGGTGGTATTTGGGCGCTATACATGTTTCGATGGGGTTCTGCCCCATTGTTGGCTTGACTTTCTTTTCCTCGGAGTTTCGGTATTCCTTTCCTCTAACTCTGGATTCCCTTCCTCAAACTCTTGATTCCCTTTCCCCAACTATTTG